AAAATATGTCAAAAGGAATTGTATTATATATTTTTAGATTTACATTTTACTGAAAAAGTCTTACAGTTTAAGAAGCTATTATATGGAGGAGTTTCCCTGAATATGTTCTGAAGATTTAGCTACTGCTTTCTTTATGAGACAGAGTTGTCTAGGGAGGAAATCATTGCTAGTGTGTGCTTCTGCCTTCAGGTTATTTCTTCTGATACATCTGAGGGAACACCAGAAGATGGCGTTTATATCCATGGATTATATCTGGATGGAGCACGCTGGGACAGAACAAGGTCAGTAGTTTCAACTGCAAAGACCTATTCAGTTGTAGCTGAATCATGGGTGAGATAAGCTGTCTGCTACCTTTCCCCGCTGCCATCCCCCTCAACCAAAAGACTTCTAGAGAATATGACAAGTAATAAATAATATCAGAATTCTTGCCATAAATCATTACTCAGGCTCGGACAGTTAATGAGTGAGTAATTTCAGCTTCTGAGCAATTTTGAGTTAATATTTCAATGGTCTTACTAGCAGAAAAGTTAGTTGAAATTATTTTCTTTCTTCTGTTTTATAACAGTTACGTTCTGTTTGGTAATGTGTAGGAGCACCTCAGTTTCAAACAGTTTATAGTAAAGTTCCCATTTCTCCTGGTGAATGGAAAACTTTTTCTTGCATTTTGATGACATAATAAGTACATATTTTAAATAAATACTGAATTTCCAGCTTAGGAAACTAAACAGTGCATATGTGTGTGCGTATACACACACACACACACACACACACACACACACACACACACACACACAGACATACGAGAAAGGGAAAGATTATTTCTCTTGAAGCCCTGCTCTTCAACAATCCATTACTAAGCATAATCTTTTATTTCCAGAGTCAGGGTTACACTTTGCTCTCAAGGGAGGGTTAAAGCCCAAGGCAGGGAAAGTCACTTAAGAAGGAGCATGAAGGTGGTTTTACAGAGATGGTTCTAAGACAGTGATATGAGGAGATTTAGCTGCACATGGTTCATTTGATTATTTCTCTTTTCATTTTCATCATTCTGCTGACGTTTCTCTTAACTTACATTTCCTTATATATGTATTCATCTTTTCATCCCTTTCTTCCCTCCTCTTGCAAGCAAACAAGCAAGCAAAGAAACAAACAATGTAGCATAGGGAAAATAAACCACATTTTCTAGATAGATAGATCTGTGTTTGAATCCTCATGCTGGCATTTAAGAGCTGTGTTACTGTGAGAAAAGTACTCAATCTCTCTGAGCTTCCTTCCACTGTTCATCTGTGAAATAGGATTAGAAATGGGGACAAGACTATTGGGAAGGTTAAATGTGACAGCATAGTGTCTGCCTCATGGACAGTGCTTTTAAAATGGCAGGAATTGATATTTGTCCACTGTGTGACACATTGCCTTTCCATATTTTTCTTCTGTTTCCCTCGATTCTTCATTGCCTCTCCCTTGGTTTTGTTTGGTTTTGTTTTTACATTTCTTTTCCTGCATATCTCTGGTCCTCTCTTGTATTAAAAGCCAATAGCTAAGTAGCAATTTCTAAGATGCAAATTTTATTTTATTTCTATTAAACATCTGTCAATTTCTCTTCACAGCGGATTGCTTGCCGAACAGTACCCCAAACTTCTGTTTGACCTGATGCCCATAATATGGATAAAACCAAGTAAATATATTTCTAACAGAACTTTGTAGAGTTTTAGGAAAGATAATGATAGATATTATAACTGCTTCCCCAAATAAGTCTCTGTTCAAACCTATTAAGATTTTGTTCAATTATAGTAAATAGTGACAATGTTTACAATGGAAATATATTGTTCCCCCTTTTTGGGTTGCATTTATATTATTTTAGGAATATTATTCTGCCTCTTTTTGCTCTTAACCCATGGGGTATAATGTTTCTTTTGCCCCTCCCCTACACTTCTCCTTTTTCAGTCTAGAGCTTCCCATCAATATTTTGATTCTGAAGTGCCTTTGCATACCTCTCAGAGACACAAATAGGCTTGACACAGTCTCCAGCTAGTGACTAGAGTTTTCTGGCTATAAGAAACTCCTAGGCCTAGGAGCCAGCCAGGTGCCCCAAGGTACAGATGTTGCAAGCCACACGGGGTGGAGGCCAATTTTGCCCCCTTGGGAAACCTACTTGTTCCTTCCCTCCTTCTGCAATCATTTCCCCACCGAATCTGAACAATTGAAGCTCATTCTTTTGTTTTTTCTTTCTTCTCTATTTTTTAATTCTCAAATAACTATAAATGAAAAATTTATAAATTACCCAATCACCACTCAACCCATGAAGCATTTTTTATTATTAAAGCTGTTCATTTATAACTATGACAAATGTGGCCTCAGTTTAGAAAGATTCCTAATATCTCATATCTGGCTTTTCAAGGATTGTGTATAGATTCTTTCTGTGAGTAGGTAAGAGTTGGTATATTTTTCTTAGTAATAACTTGCTGAAAACAAATAGTAACTTCAGCTTCTAATTTATGGATTTCTTGTATTAGAGCTCTAAGCAGCTGTGTTTCTCTTTCTGCATCTCCTCTGTTACCTATGCTGTATCTTATTCCTTCTTCCCTAATTTCTCCTTCTCTCCCAAGTCCTCTTGAGTGTTTTCATACCTGCTAAGTGATCAGGTCTTTAAAATCAATTCCTGTCCTCCAGACCTAGAATCATGCACCGTATGAAATCATTTACCTTGTTTCACAACCATAATTATATGCCAACTGTAAAAACACAACAATAATAACTTTAAAATGTTCAATATCATAATCATGATCTTAGATTTAGTAGTGGTCATTTTATTACAAGATAAATAGGTGTTCTTTTAGTACCAGTGGCTGTTTTCCTTTTATCAAATGAATATATTTCCTTTTTCTTCAAGCTAAAAAGTCTCAGATTGTGAAGTCGAATGCTTATGTCTGTCCTCTTTACAAGACAAGTGAACGTAAAGGAACTCTTTCCACCACAGGACATTCGACTAATTTTGTCATTGCAATGTTATTGAAAACAGACCAACCCACTCGGCACTGGATCAAACGTGGGGTTGCTCTGCTTTGTCAGTTGGATGACTAAACTGGACAAATTAAGAAAACATCTGAAAGAAGTTTAAAAAAATTGCCTTCACTTACTTGAAAATATATATATTATAAAACCCCAGTATCTTGGTGTAATTCTTTTAAATAATCTTTGTCTTTGTTCTTCTCCCTGATGTACCAGTCTCAGTTGGAGCACTGCCTTCCACATGGACTCGCAAGGTCACAGACATCTGTGGAAGAAAAACATGAAAAGAAATGTGGAAAATCTTTGAGACTTTTTATTTAGTTCCTCTTTTTACTCTGATATATATGTGAAAAACAGATTTAGGAAGACTGGATAAAATTTAACTAATATCAGAAATTATCTGTTTCACAAGTGTTAAGTCATTTCATCAGCTTCAGTAATAATTTCCACTCACCTATGCGAAGTGATTATACACAAACATTTCAAATACATAAATAAATTGTAAATAAGGAAAATGTTGAAACAATTTCAGAATGAAACCCCTTTCTTCATACTTTTAAAACGTTAGTTCCATTTCTCACAGTACCCCTGTGACAAGGAAAGGAAACGCAAAGCAGTGAATTGACATGCAAAGGCAGTGAGATGACTGGAGGGAAATCCTACACACTGGAGGTGGTATCATGCTTCTTGGCATCTGCTTCATATTTAATTGGAAATGCCAAGTGGGCTCTTTGTTATTTTTAGTAGTTGTTATTCTTATTATTTAGTATGCACTTATCGTATTAGTGTATATTAACAATTTTTAAACATTTCAACAAAATAAAATTATGTCAAAATTTTATTATCTTGTTTTTATTATCTTATTTTATTATCTTTTATTCCTTCCTTAGGATTCCCTGGACATTTTAGGCCGCAGCTGTGTAATCCAAAGAAAATGTAGGTGCAGCATCCCAGTGAATCAGGACCATTGGGACAGTCACTTTTGATAATTCAGTCAGTGCAAAATGTTTGGCCTCTCTTAAGTAGAAAATTGATTCTGGTTTGTAGTGTCTATGTGCATGAGCCCTAAGAGAACGAATTCACTTCATATGGCCAACCTCCTGCAAAAGCATTTTATTCCAGAAATAGAATGTTTAATCTTTTAAATTTAATGAATACAGCAGTGAAAAAAAGAGATCATGTTTTCAAACAGAGCTAAACCACATATAAAAAACAGGGAGAATGTGCCAGACTGTCTTATGATCAAGTATTTATAGTAAAGCTATTAATGGAATGGTCACTACACGGGAGTGGAGATCCTAAATATAAATGAAAATTCTGATGTGCTAATCCTTAACAGTGAAAACTTCAGTGCTGTCCTAAAGGATATAATAAAAGGTAAAAAGTCTTTGGTATGTGATCAAACCTATTCTATACTAAAACTGAAATGTTCTTTTAAAACCATTGAGATGTTGCCTAGTAAAATATATCGGGGGTATTTTTCCCACTATTCCTGTTACATGTTATGAGAATACATTTATTCCTATAACATGTTTATTTTTAGTATTTACTAACTAAATAAAATATTATTTTCAGCATTATACTCCCTGCGTGTAGGAAAGATATTCTTTGGAGTGAGAGCTACAATTAATGAGAAAAACTCATAAGCCAAGTTTAAAATAGATTGATATGAACATTTTCATAGTTACAGTGGCACTGACCTAAGTTTTATATGAAAGGTTGTGTTTCCTGAATAAGCTTTAAGTAGATGGCTGCTCATGGAAAACTTCTAATTTATGTTGAATCTGTGTCAGTTCAGAAAACTGTTTGGGTTTTCAAAAATTTTTTAAATGAATATTTTGTGTTCTAAATTTTGCACTTTTTCATTTATCAATCCTATTAATTTTTTAGTTTTCTGAATTTCATTTATAATTTTAATCAGTTGATAATCTTTCACAACTGGAAAAATATTTTTAATTCATTTTGACTTTAAAGTAAATCTGTCTGCATTTCACATGGATAATTACACCAATGATGAAGACATAGATGATGAGTTTGACACCCAGCTCATCATTCAACAGAGTTTACAGGATATTCACAAGCCGGAAACTACACAGCAGTCACCTGAAGATGAGAGGTAATGGTATCTCACTGGCAACATAGTATAAGTATTCAACAGTTAAGCCTTGTCATAAGCACCGATGCTAGTGTTGTGACAAAAACAGAAGAGAGGGTCAGAATCCAAGGAGCTGAATATCTATGAGACTTGATATGTGACCAGACAGGAGAAATTTGGAAATAATTCAGAATTTAATCAGGCAGTAAAGAAAATAATAGCCAGGACATGGAAGCAACCTAAATGTTCATCAACAGAGGAGTGGATAAAGAAGATGTGGCACATATATACAATGGAATACTACTCAGCCATAAAAAGTAATGAAATTGGGTCATTTGTAGAGACATGGATGGACCTAGAGACTGTCACACAGAGTGAAGTAAGTCAGAAAGAGAAAAACAAGTATCGTATATTAACGCACGTATGTGGAATCTAGGAAAATGGTATCAGTGACCTTATTTGCAAAGCAGAAATACAGACATAGACATAGAGAACAAATGTATGGATACCAAAGGGGAAGGGGGTGGGGAGGGAGGAATTGGAAGACTGGGATTGACACATTGATATTATTGATACTATGTATAAAATAGACAACTGATAGGAACATACTTTATAGCACAGGGAACTCTACCTAATGCACTGTGGTAACCTAAATGGGAAAGAAGTCCAAAAAGGAGGGGATATCTGTATGTATATGGCTGATTCATTTTGTAGTGCAGTGGAGGCTAACACAACATTGTAAAGCAACCATACTCCAATAAAAATTAATTTTAAAAAAGAAAGAAAATAGTTGGAGGAGGTTACTAGCAAATATGGGTGAGGAGAGGCAGATGAGAAATCAGAAAGAAGAAATACATGAGGAAATGTAAGACTAGAGAACACTAATGCATCTTGTCTTTGGGGAGCTAAGGAAATGCATAAATCCAACCAAGACACAGAAACCTTAGTAGGGTAAAGTCTTTAATCTACTCAAATCAAAAGGAGTAATTATGTAAACTTAAACCCAGAAGAGACTAACCCCTTCTGAAGGGTGTGAACTCAGAGTTCTGGTATGACAACACTAGAAAAGGACCCCATGGATCCCTCAGTGGAGTAAGAGAATTGCCCTGGATATGGGCTGTCTGCGGCCAAGCACAGCTAGTCAAATGCTCTCTGGGTGATCAGCAACTTCAAGTCCATGAGTAGTTACAATTATTTTTCAGGGGTATTAAACCCATTTGCTTGGGGTGGTGACCTCTATTTGCCTGATGGAGGTAAAACTGGATAAATGTGTTTTAACCCCAAGAGATTTTGTAATTAAATACAGAGATGTTGGAGTATATCAAACCTACAGTATTTTTTTTTTAAGTAACATACTCATGGAGTGATCACTGTGTGCCACACTATTCTGAGCATTTCATAAATATGTATTAACTCATTTAAATTCTAGTTCTCGTTACCTCTCTATGTGGTCGGTACTATTATTTTCCCCATTTAGAGATGAGGCGACTGAGGCATAGCATAGAGAAATTAAATGACTTACCCAAGGTCACAGAGCTAGTAAGTAAAGAGCCAGGCAGCCTGGCTTCAGAGTCTGCATTCTTTACTACACTATTCCTACACTTTTATGTTAAATTTAGGAATAATCTTTAAATAGTTAAAAGTTTTGTAAAGAAATTGGATTTCATTGGGTTACCTGTTGTATTAACCTTGTGATTAAACCTTGTGATTAACTTTGAAGTCATGATTTTAGGTTGAAAGGCTTAAGAGATTTTGATTAAGAGTACTGAAATGTTTCAAAGAAATTAAAATTGACTACAGTTATAAATTTCAGTCATTAGACTTGCAAGAATTGTATGATACTTAGCAAGGCTTACTGATTTGATCAGGCACTTAAAGGAATTAGGAAAATAGAACATACTTGAGACAGGAGCAGTAAAGCCCACCACCACCAAAAGATGTCCAAGTCCTAATCCCCAGAACCTGTGGATATGTAACCTTACATGGCAATGGAGAATTAAGGCTGCAGACGGAATTAAGGTTGCTAATCAGTTGACTTTAAGATAGGGAGATTGACTAAATTTTAAGTAGGACCGATTGTCTAAGGGAATTTATTGTTTTCAAGCTGGGTTCATTGAATAATCAAAGAAAAAGGGAAGGTGACAATCCTTATTTACTAGATTTAAATATAATATAAGATTTATAAGTTGAGCTTTAAAACTTTAAATATTTTAATAAAAATATTACTTAAAAAAACTGCTAATTGTGTTTTTTGAATACAGATTCTGATCATGAATATTTTTTAAAACTTACACCATGATTATTTACTATTTTTTTAAATAATAATTTTTGCTGGAATCATTGACATTATAGAGTGGCCATTTAAATTTTACCATGTGACAGTGTGACATTTCAGTCCTAGGCATGTTTGATTGAGTTCAGCAGACACTGATTGAAGGCTAACTGTAATCCAGGCTCTCAAAGTTCTTGCCCTAAAGAAGCTGATGAGGGAAGACACATGGGAGGGGAGTTTCCCTGGAACACATTAAGGGCCATACTACGTTTTCTTTTTCTTTTTTTTTTCCTAAATATATATACATATATCTTTTATTTATTTATTTCTTGAAACATCTTTATTGGAGTATAATTGCTTTACAATGGTGTGTTAGTTTCTGCTTTATAACAAAGTGAATCAGTTATACATATACATATGTTCCCATATCTCTTCCCTCTTGTGTTTTGAAGTATTTCTATTATGCCTCAGTCATTGCCTCATATGAGTTCATTCCTGGTTAACTACTATTGCCTTTACCCTTTCCTTTTGTTTTATCAAATGCCTTAGTTTTTTCCTCAGTTTTGGAATTACATTCATGTTTTTTCTCTGCAGCTTTTTGATTGCAGACTGTAAGAGGATAGTTGAAACAATAGAGACAGTTAAGTACTCTTCCTATTCTATCCCCTTCAACTTGTGGTAAGATGTGATGGTGACAACTGGTAGCATTTCCCCTCTAAGTTCAGTAAGCCTAGAAGCAGGATCTCCCAAGTGCTGAACACTATGGGGTCAACAGCTAATTGTCAAGAGTCTGATGGGGCCTTTCCTGGGAGAAACTACTTCAGCAAAACTTAGCAAACAGCTCCTGGGCTCCTCGGTGGACAGAGCTGTTTTCTGTACGGAATGCTAGATGAAAGGCCTTACTGCTTGTTTGTCCTATGCCATTTAAATGTGTCTTTCATTAAAGGTAGTGCTAGAATACTGTTGTCTCATGCACTAACCTTGATGATGGAATTCAGAAGCAGTATGGGCTGCCTTGTATATGTGCCAAATGTGAATATGTTCTCATTTGACTTGTTAATAGGTAAGGAAGATGTATTGTCAGGGTTGACCAAGTACCATTCTGCTTTTGATGAAGCAGATGAGATAGGCTGGCTTCCTCTCCATAAGGCTGCAGTGCAATTAAATAGGAACATTTTGGAAATAACCCTGAAAGGTAAACTCCCTTTATAACTCTTATTGATGCTTCTGAGAAATAAATTTAAAATTTATTTCTGTATCTTAATCTGTGTGGTCTAATGGATTTATTTCAGCCTCAAAACCCAGTGTGTGGGAGCAAACCACCAACAATGGTGAAACACCACTTTTTTTGGCTGTCAGCAGTTGCCTCTTAGAAAATGTCTGTTTGCTTCTTCTCAATGGCTGCAATCCAAATGCCAAGAATGTTGAAGGCAATTCTCCTCTTCTTACAGGTAAATTAACACGTTAGCTCTGGAGAACAGTCTGTGGCTCTGAGTGTCCTCCAGGCCCACAGGTTTCAAAGGCAGTTTCTTGTGCATAGTTGCAGCACTGTCACTCTGGTGCCAAATAACCACACATGGGTACCTGACCCTCAAGAAGCTTTATATAGGCTGGCCTGTGAGGTGGCCTGAGGCAAAGTCTCTGCCCAATTATGAGCTGATCATTTTTACATAGTACCTCAGTTGAACAAGTTAATTCTGGTATAAGAAATATAGGAGAGGAGCAGAGTAGGAAGAAGCAGCCAATGGTTGGGTAAAGATGGCAGATTAAATATGAATGAGTAATTCTGCTGCCTCCTGAGTCTTCAGGAGGATTACAGTTCATCAACTGTTTTAAAGGGTTAAGATACAAAAAATGGGAAGAATGGAAGAGGAGACAACAATAACATGATTTTTAAAAATCAGAAGAGCAGATGGATGAGTAGTAAGTGTCAAGAAAGCCAAATCTTAACTTGGAGTGGGGAAAGCCAAAAACCAGCACAGTTATATCAAAAGGCCTGGAAATTGTTGGCTATAGTTACCTCATGGAGCAGGGATGAAGGATGGGCAGCTAAAATAGAAAAATTGGTTGAAAACTATTAAACAAATAGTCAGGTATCTAGATCACTTCTCTCAATCCACCCTGCTGGGTCAGACTCTTCCCCCACCCAGCAGAATTTTGGAAGTTTTTTCTCTGAATAGTGTGAGCAAAGGCTCTCTGGATGGGGGGTTATTTGGCAAGGGCAAGAGTACTGGGTTGAAAACACTGGAGGAATTAAGCACATAGGCTGAGACCTCCCAGTTCTTCACCAAATTCTAGAAAGCCAGCAGCTAGAACTTCACCCTCCAAGAGGAGGCTTCTTTGGAGAATCTGATCAGCTCAAAGAGAAAGAACTAAAAATACTAAAACTGGAGGTTCCCCAACAAATAGCCCAGGCACATCAACCTACAGTTAAGACCACAGTCAATGTTTAGAATTTCCAGGCAGATTTTTAGTCCCCAGCTCTTAATCATGAGCAGACATCCAAGGACTATCTGAGGAAAGTCTTCAACAAACAAAGGTAAACAACTTGGAGGAAACAGATTATTTAGGGGAAAATAAAAGGTAGGGGGAAATTATCATTAATTTCCTCAGAGAAATCAATGAAAATTAATGAAATAGCAGGACACTACTAAAAAAAAATGAAGAACAAAACAAAAAACACTCTTGAAAATTAAAAATATGACAGCAGAAATTTTAAAAAATTCAAATGCGAGGAGATAAAGTTAGGAAAGCTTCCAGAAGAAGAAGATAAGAAATGAAAAATCAGTAAGAAGAATAACTAAGAGAATTAGGATGATAACCGAAGAGGAGGAACCTGTGAGTAATAGGAATGGTAGAAAGAGAACAGACAAAGTAGAGGCAATATACCGTCAATGAGACAAGTCAAGAAAATTATTCCCTAAAACAAAGAACATGTTTCATCTTTCCAGAATGAAAGAGCACACAAAGTGCCAGCTCAATGAATTAAAAAAGACCCAACACTCTTGGCGCTCTATATTGCTAGTCTTAGTGCAATTATAGCCCTTTATATGGCACATTATAAATGGTTGTGAGCAGAATTCATACTGATTCAGTGTCTAACACCTAGCAAGATTCCCCAAACACACTTGGTGCCAACAATTAGCAAATGGATAGGGAGATGGATAAATTAAGGTGCTCTAGAATCTTGAAGGACTAAAGATTATCATCCAATGCAAATTAACAGCATAAATGCAGAAATGCCAATTAGAGAATATTGGTTAATAAAATGTGAGGTTAAAAATAATTTCCTAATTATTGCTGTTTTTGTTTTTCTTCATGTAAAGCAGCTACAAACATTTCTAGGACTGTACTAGGTACTTAAGTTCCCATTTTCTTGAGAACATAAAGATGATAAATGAAAACTGTTTTTCAGCTACATAAGCTGCCAACAGACAATGAATAATTGGTCATGGTTTACAGAAAAGTAAATAGCCTATTGATGTAAAACACTATTAATATTATTTGATATATGCCTCATTTTACAATCCGTTTCCTAAACACCAAATGCTGGTACATGGGGGATAGGAAGGAAGAACTCCTTAAGAAGCCTGAGGGAAACTAGCTGATCTGATACTCTTGGCCTTAATTTCCGGTTGAACATGATGCCTCCCTCACTTCTAATCTCCCAGCTGTTCTACAAGACTCCTACAATATGGCCGCCTTGCTGATCAGCCATGGAGCAGATGTCAATCTGCGGTGTGCCAACGAGAGGACAGCTCTCCACGAAGCAGCCAGGCTGGGCAGACGGGACATAGCGAAGCTCCTGCTGGTTTCTGGGGCCCACCCTGACCCAAAGAGCTCCTATGGATTCACTCCTCTTGCTCTTGCTGCCCAAAGCGGACACACTAAAATCATGGAACTGTTACTGCAGAAAGGCAAGATTTTCCTATACAGTCAGCACACTACTAAAGGATAACATGACCTAAGCATTCTCCTCTTTATGGAGAGCTTCAGTGTAATAGAAGTTAACATTTTATTTAAGCCAAATTTAAGATTTTATTGAAGTGTGTGTTAATATTAGCTACTGAAAGACCCTAAAATAGGGATTGAATATTTCTTATTTGCTGTGAAGCAGTTTCCCTAAAATTACTAGGACCATGTTAAGAGGATGGTTGTTTTTTGTTTAATTTTTTGTGTGGTGGTGTTCTTTTCTAGATTCATAGAATGAAACACTCCACAACATCCCCTTCATGTTGTCTCTGCTTAAGCTAAGTTATGAGGCAGTCCAACCTGTTACCAGATGAATTAAGTTGTTAGGGAATTCTTCCTGATTTCTTCTCTTTGGGTCCCAGTTCTCCCCTCTAGTAATAAACAAAACTCTGAGAGAAGGGGAAGGCAATTTATATGTATTGAGTACTTTCTAAGCGCCAGGTATTAAGCTACTTATTTTACCTCAAATAATCTTCTACAAACCCTGTGAGGTAGGCATTATCCTCATTTTACCCTTGAGGAAAGTGAGGGTCAGGGATGGTACCAGTTGTAGAATTTCCCTTCAAACACGCCCTCCCCTGCCACCCATGCTATAGCTGCGGCCATCTTAGATCCTGGTTTAACTGGCAGAGATCCTGGCTCAGAAAACTGTCTTTGAGGAGACCCTCATTGATGACACTGTTAGAAGAAGCAGTGTAATATCTAAAGCTTTTTTTTCGAAGAAGGAAATCTTTACCAAGATTTAATAAAGTCCCAATATTAGGATTATCTTCTTTATTCTCCTCCCCATTAGTATCCAGAAGTCTTATTTCTTTCTCTAACAATACATGGTCCTGGTGTCCAGTTTTCTAGACTGCAGGGACTCCTACATTTAAGAACAACTTTCTGCTTTTTAGACTTCCCTAAATCTTTCCTGTCATATAGGGGAGGCTAGTTCCCAGTCAATGGCCGTAAGACATCTTAAGTAAGATGTTTTAAATGAGTGATACCAGAGATGTCTAAAGTCATTAGCTGGAATAACAAAGTAAACACTGGATCCTTCATCTACACAAAAAGAGCAACCTTTTGTGTAGATCATTGATTAAAATATAAAGAAACAGGAGAGGCGACAGATTTTAAATCCTTAACCTTTCAAAGAAACCAGTATCGGTTGACCTCAGTGAGGTCAGTGAGGGAGCATTTCCCTTAGGTAAGCCCCTTATACAGTCATCTGCACATAGCTACTAAATAGAAGAGCCAAGCTTTGAACCCACATCTGTCTCGTTCCAAATCACATTACTTTATTACCCTGCATTGCTAGAGTGGCAACATGGCATCATAGAAATAGCACCTGGGTCTCCCCACCTGTACATGAATCCCGACTATCTTGCTTAGTAGTTGTGCATCTCTGGTGAAGTAATTTAATCTCAATTAAACTCAGTTTCTTCATCTTTAAAATGAAGATATTAGCATCTACTTCCTAGGGTTGTTGTGAAGTTTAGAAATTATTACGTACATAAAGAAACCAGCACATAGTGAGTACTCATTACATGGTGGCTTATTAGACATTTCTTAATGCATTCTAGGAATGGGGTTCTGGGGGAGCCACTATATTCTTTTTTTTTTTAATTTTCAAAATATTTTAATCGATTTACAAATTTTTCAATTAGAAAAAAATATGCAGGAAGGGGTTATTTAATTGAGTGATGATAATCAGGACATATATATTATGTGTATTAGCAAAAAATGTGAATAAGTTCTTCAGTAAAAGAAAAAACCTGGTGCATATAATAGATTTCTCATAGTTCTATGCAGAACTTTCACTAAGAGAACACCCACCTAAAATGGATTATTCCTCATCAAATGCTACAGTGAGAATTCTTCTGTAGGAAGCATTTTATGGATTCCTTCCAGAATATAGAGAAGATAATCTGTCTTCTAGGAATTCATTTTCAAGATGGATTATTCAATGAATGGCATCATTTGGATACCCCATTCTGCACTTGTAAGGAGGGGACATAATTTTCCAAAGACTGAAGTCACTTTCATCTCTCCTCCCACTGTACAACTCCACTTAAGTCTGGAGTTTTGCATCTAAAACTATATGAGCTTTTAAGACTGAGATCTGATTCATCATAATCTTTTCCATGAAGAAAGATCTTTCAATTTCCTCCGAGTTAAAACAGCAATAGAGTGCCATTCCATGAAAAGCACAATGACACCATATAAATTAGGAATAATATATTGAAATAGAATTTGTATGTGGATGATATTGCCAAAATAAAGAACAGAGAAGAACAAATGACTGTGATGAGCCAACATGCAGCATAAATGGGCTTTGGCTTACTGCTTATACATGCAAGACAGTCAATAAATATTAGAGTCCTTATATTCTGAAGATTATGGAGTCCACACTAAAGTCATTATATCTTTTTTATATGAGTTGTGAAGGTGCCCAGAGTGTCCTCCTTTTCTTTTGTCCATTTGAATGCTACTCTTTCTTCAAAGCCTTTACTGAGAGGCCTTCCACAACTGACCCCAAATTCCTCCCTCCTTCCTTCACCTCCCAGCCCTGCTCACAACCCCAGCCCTGAGATCTTCAAGAAGACAGCCTGTATCTGTACTCTTATTATCCACACCACTCACACAGCACTTAGCTTACAGGGTACTACAATATACCCTTTTAACTATCAGCAGTCCCTATCTTCAACTACAAACAGCTAGTGTCTCTTAGTATGAACAGTCTCCTAGGAACAAGTTAAAACAGAACAAACATGCTTTTCCACCATAAGATCTTCATTAGATGTCATGGTGACATAGTTCAATAGGATTGTTAGACCATCTTATAGTGTGTTATGAGGTAAGCGAGCTTTTGTATGCTGGTCTGGAAATAAAACCATCTTGTATAAAATTAATTCTCCTGGGATTTTTAAGTTAGAAACAAATAACTTATAAAATTACTCTGAAAGCCAACCTACTTATAACTTAGAGACTGCTTACACCATTTTCTCTCCCCAACTAGTTTGTAAACTGTCTGAGACAGGAGGTACATACTTTATGTCTTTGATTCTTAGTGTTTTGCTAAAGTAGCTGCTCAATAATTGCTTTTTGGTAGTGGTGGTACACTTTTAAGAATACTTAAGCAATACGGTGGAAAAGACTCTGCATAACATCACTCTTTCTCCTCCTAGGAGCTAATGCTCTTGGTCAGGCCTCTGATTCTTCTTCCATCTTACTTGAAGCAGCTAGTGGAGGAAATCCAGACTCTGTAACTCTCTTGCTAGAGTATGGAGCTGATGCCAACATCCCTAAGAATTCAGGCCACCTGCCCATTCATGTGGCAGCTGACAGAGGCCACTTGTTGTAAGTTCAACTACATTATTGCAAATAATAGAAATAGTAATAGCCATGGGGTTTTGGAGGGGGGGCAGCTTCTGGGAATTTTATATTCTTCATCTCTGATCCTACAACTCCAACACCCCTTTTAAAGGTGAGAAACTCTTGACCAGCTAGAAAGTGGTAAATTCAGACATCCTCTGTAGACCCTGAAGAGACATAAAACTATTTTATTTTCAGGTCGTTTGGCAATATGGGGAGCCTCAGGTTTCACTGACTGGGGTAATTCTGAGTTTTATATCTACACCTTAGTTTCATTTAACTTTACATGGTATCTGAGTTTTTGGATGCAGGACTATGCTTTTTTTTGGTTGGGGTGTCTAAAAACCAACTGATGCTAATACCATCCAGTGCTAGTATAAAGCAATCATATACAGGTCAATGCAGCATCTTAACAAAAACTATTTTTTAATGCACTTTGAAATTCTTTCTCAGAGCTCTAAAGATTTTGGTTCCAGTCACGGATTTTGCTGCCATTAAGCGGAGTGGCATCAGTCCAGTTCACTGTGCAGCAGCAGGAGCACACCCCAAATGCCTGGAACTTCTCATCCGGGCTGGATTTGATGTAAATTTCATGCTAGATCAGAGAATTCGCAAACACTATGATGACCACAGGAAGTCAGCTTTGTATTTTGCTGTATCAAATGGTGACCTCTCTTCAGTTAAGCTGCTTCTGAGTGCTGGAGCTCTGCCTAATCAAGACCCAGTAAACTGCCTCCAGATAGCCCTAAGGATGGGCAACTATGAGCTGATAAGCCTGCTGCTACAGCATGGGGCCAACGTTAATTACTTCTGCAAAGTCAACCCTTTACATTTCCCATCTGCACTTCAATACACGCTGAAAGATGAAGTCATGCTCAGGATGCTGTTGAATTATGGGTATGACATAGAGCGATGCTTTGATTGTCCTCATGGAGACAAAGTTCATCCTTTCTATACTTTTGTTGAAGGCTGGACATCTACAGTTATCAAAGATACTATGGTAAGTGCACAGTATTGGCTGTGTCACCCTATGTAGTCATTATCCGTGTCCCTGAACTACAGCAAAAGATAAAACTCCATCCCCTCCAGAAGCTCATGGAGGGAAAGATTTTAATATGATAAATATATGATAAAATAAACATGATAGTAGAAAGATGTAAAAGGTACAGAAACAGTTTAGAGGAAAAAGTGATTTAACTCTAGTTAGGGAGTTTCACAAATGAAGCAACATCTGAACAAGGCTGTGAAAAATAAATGCAGCCTTATATACGTTATGTTTTTTCTTTGAAGAAGTGAGTTATCTAGTTAAAATGTTTCTGGGTTCCTGATACTTGTACCCCTAGGTTTTTGGCTCTAACATTTGATTAATGGTTTTCTTTGGTCACATTTTGATGAAAAAAGGATCACAATAAATATAGTTGACCACTCTCTTCTTGAGACATTTTTCTCTTAGCTGTCATCACACCACAGTCTCCTATTTTCCCCCTACTTAATTGGTCACTTCTATTTTCCCCAACTTGAGCTCTTCCCCCGATTTTTCAAATAGCTGCCACCCTTCAGGTCTCATTTCAAGTGTTACCTCCTCAAAGAGGCCCTTCCTTATGCATCTTACCTAAGGCAGTTCTGTTCCCTAATCATTCTCTTTAATGCTTTTCATTTCTTTTATAGTACTTATCCGTTTCTGAAATTCTTAATATTTTACTGATTATGTATCTCCCCCACAAATACATGAATGTAAGCTCTTGTTCACCACTTTCCTCAGCTTACAGATCTGTGCTTAGCACACAATAGATGCACTATAGATACTTGAATTCATATTATTAAAATCTGAAAATATAAATAAAATGGAGAAAGAACTTTGAGTCAGTTCTGAAGAGGAAAATATTTTAATATTGTATATTACTTTTAGGTTATGATTAATGTAGGACTTGGTATTTAAGCAATATGTCATCTTGTATTATTTCCTGACTTTTCATATAGTAGTATTTGCCTTCTTACATGGGCATCTTGTGTAAGGACATGTAAATTACTTAAAGGCAGAAACTATCATACGTTTCAAGTATCAGAATAGGGAATAGGTTATGAATGATAGAAAACCCCAAATAAGAGAGGCTCTAATAAGATGGCTTACTCCCCTCTCCTATAAATAAAGGCGAGAGTAAATAGACTTCTAATTGGACAGTTCCATGATTCACAGGAGAAACTCACATCCAGTCCAACCAGCAGGAAGGCAGGCAGGAGGAAGCAGCACACGCCTTGCTCTTCTTTTAACAGCATTCTGTAAGTCGCTCACACTTCCAGTGACATCTCATTGGCTAGAACTTAGATGGCCACATCTAGATGCAAGTGAAGCTGGAAAGGTAATCTTTATTCCACACAGCCATGCGGGCAACCAAAGGGGACAGAAGCTATTATGTAACAGTCTGTTTTTAAACCCTCGTATCTTATAAAGTTTGGAAGACTTGGTAGTAAATATTTTTCCAAATGTTAGAGCTAAGAAATATTTTCTTGTTCAACACCTTAGTTTATAAATGAGGAACTTCAAACCTTGGTTCTTGACTCCGAGTTTAGTGTTCTTTTGATTACTGTGTTAAACCACAGATACTTAGTTTTCCATTTACTTTCATAGTTCTGATTTTCTTCCTCAGTTCTGCGAAGTAATAACTTTGTCATGGCTGCAACATCTCTCTGGAAAGGTTGTTCGAGTGATGCTTGATTATGTTGATCAAGTTAGGATCTGTTCAAAGTTGAAAGCTGTGCTCCAAAAACAGAGGCTCTGGTCAGAAATCCATTTTATCTTGAGTGAGTATCTTTCTTTCTTGACGATTCTTACCAAAAAATACTAACTGAACTCTTCTTATTTCTTTGGTAGAACATTGTTCTCTTCAATTAAAAGCTTGACCTAAAGAAACCAAGAAAAATACTATTCCTATCTAAAAAATGTTACCGTTTATAACTGCACTTAATTTGTACTTACTACCATTTCCCAATAGATAAAATCTGTTAGGTAATTATTTATTATATAGGTAGATAATACTTTTCTTCTGATCCTATGGTACACCATAGACACAGGAATTAAAAACTATGAAATGGCACTAAAAACAGGGATGAGAAAATGCTAAGATCTAAGGCTACAGAGGATATTAAATGACCCTTCAAAGCAAATTCTTTCACAGTAGCACATAAGTCAAATTAAGAAGAATTTCTTTCATATAATTTCCCCACAGGGTAGTGATCTTTAGTTTTTAGCCTGACCCCAAGGGGCAGGACAGGGGGTTAATACACACAGACGTAGGAGCTTTAGGTCTCACAGGCCAGACCCACAACTGATGCCAGTCTTTGGACTCGAACGTGACATGGCTCTGAAACCACAGCTACGAGATCTGCAGTGAGAAGTGGAAAGCTATTTCCCAATTAACTTTTCCGTTTAGTCACAGCAAATGAAAATCTTGGTGGCTTAAGTATAAAATACATTTGCTAAAGATCACTAAAAAAATGAAGCAATTCTTTCTTTTGGATAATGTGCCTGTTTTTCATTTTAGCAAACCCTCGCTCCCTGAAACATTTGTGCCGCCTCAAGATCCGGAAGTGTATGGGACGTTTACACTTGCGCTGCCCCATCTTCATGTCATTTCTTCCGTTACCCAATCGTCTAAAGGCATATGTCCTTTACAAAGAACATGACCTTTATGAACAAGGAATTTTCACAGGAACCTGGTAATCAAACTATTCTGGATAAAAAGGTATATAATTCCGCAGATGTCTTTCTTAAAATGTGACTTGTTACACTGATTCATATTTCTCACTTTACCTAGCAACTAAAATCTCAATGCAGTCTACATTCTTTAAAAAGTCACTCTGAACATAGCCTCTCAACAGATGGCTGGCATACTGAAAGGCAGTTTTGTAAAAATAAAACCCAAACAGTAAAAATTTCAATTAACTAAGATACATCAGTTCTAATGCTGTATTCATCTTACTTTAAACGTATAAATCCACATTTCTACATGCTCAAAATAATAAATGCTACCTCTGATAATTCATGATAATTCTTAACAGTAATCCTTCTTATAGAGAAGTACATATATAAAATGTCTTAGTGACTGCAATGAATAAAGGACCCCAGTACATGACCCTAAAATTAGCTGTTCTTGTACAAAAGTCCCAAGGCCAGCTTAGTGTCTGTTTACTTGCAGAGTCCATTACTGAGGTAATTCAGTTAATTGAAAGAGAACCTTCAATTGCGATTTCATCATTAATGGGATACATGCGTTCCTTCTTTCTACAAAACCCTGGCTAAGGGTTACCATTTATTGGTTAATGTGATCACTAAAAGTGTTTTCAAATGGATGATGGCTTATGATTTCTGTACTGAACCTAGTCCACTTCTAGACACAGAGGAGGGGCTCACTGATAGAAGCAGTTATAGGTGTTAGTTTAAAATTTTATTTCTATATATTCTATGCTGCATTTAAGTACAGGTTTCTGTATGTGGAAGCGAGGAAAGAAACTAAGAAAACATTCATTCAGCCATACCTGTGTACCATTATATGGCACATCAACAGAGAGAACAGAGAGGCAGGATGATGACCACAGGCCCAGTCAGTTATAGCTTGATGTTTATATGTTTAGTCTTAGCATACTTTTTTTTCTAGCATAATATAGTCCTTCTTAAGGAAACTGAAGTTATATGATTTCTTTCTGACGTAGGAATTCATGGCTATACAGACTATTTCAGTAAGCACAGACTTAAAATTACTAGTAATACAGTTTTCACATAAAAAATTTGCAAGATTAGCTGGCATGAATAGTTTTTATTTTTTTTTAATCAAATTGTGGTGTCTGTTTATAAATGGGTGCTAGATTATATGTATGTCGATACACAAATATATTTAGGATATACATGCACCTAGAGAAATTACATAATTCTGAAGTTAATTTCATCCACTCCCTGGACCTTCTACAAGTGTATACATTTTATAAAACTGAAAACAAATTAAAACAAACTGCCAGTAGAAGAACAGAACTTGGTAAGTGCTACAGGAAACCATAAAGAGCACAGGGGATGAATATGCATTAGTATTAAAACTACAGGCCCAAGCCACTTAAGCTGGTGTACACAATAACCTGACCCTTTAAATTACAGGAATTTCTTTAAATAGGACCCAATATAGCAAGTATACATTGTAACATGTCTAGGGTAATTATTGAAAATTCTCTTAATTTTTCTAAAGGAAAAAAGTCACTAGATATGAATTAGTATTATTTCCCCATAAGTGACATTTTTTCCCCATTTTAGCTGTTATGGAATTGCAATAGGGTTAGATGTGTAATAACAGTATCATAACAGATTAAGAAAAAGTCCAATTGTTTTATAAGCATCATTTGAAATTACTTGGAGAAGTAAAATTCAGAGTATATATCAAATATTTCATACAAAAAAGACTATAAAAAAATCATGGACTTTATTATACATTAAAAATCTCCTAACAGCATACTTCCTGAAGCCTTGTCAGGAATACTTATTTTGACAAAATGAAAAAATAAGTTCTTCACTCCACATGTATACCACCATCACATAAAGTCGAGTTTTTCAAATTTAATTCTAAAGGGAAATGAAGCATAATTTTTAATTGTATATGCATGATTAACAATATCAGTGAAACAAGAATGAACCAATTCACTTACATTACAAAATCACCAAATATACAAAGTGGTTTTGCACATTAGTTATAACTTAATCCCCAGTTCTCATATTAACCTAAGTAAATTACATGAGTACAGCCACAAGAGATTGGTTAAAAAGTATAATATAGTTCCAGTTTCGAATTATTAATTAATATGGAAGAAAAAAATCTCATGAAAGAAAAGTAAGCCAAACTTGATAAAAATAAAGTCAAAGGCTTGCTTGCTACAATCAGTGTGTTTGAATATTTAAAGTACAGTTTGAATGCTAGGAGGCTGTTATCAAAACCAATGTTAATATTTTCATTTTATTAATTTGGGTGGCAGAGGTTTTACAAAACACAGGCTCTTAGGGTCTGTCAACAGGTATAAGAAGATTCAAATCTTAAGTACTTGCAGTTCCTATATATAACTCAAAATTAACTCAGATGCCTTTACCACATATGATTATATGTTATGTAGAATGGTATGCACACCCTACTATCCTTTCCTCAAGCATAAAAGTAACATAAATTTACCACCCCTAGACTGTGGAATCTGAGAATTCTTTTGAAATTAAACACAAAGTAATCATTGTAGACATGGCAAAAACTAGACTGGGGACTGCGTTCAAGGCAACAGTTTTAGTCCCTTGTTAGCAAGTTTTCCCAATTTTACAAGGGGGAAGGAATCATCAGTTTCCTATCTATTGACTTCACTACCATAGTTACAAAAGTACTGTTGACATAGGTAGCAAGAGTGCCTAGCAGAATTAGGTAGACTTAATTTCTTTCCTTTTAAAGAATCAGTTTTGTTAATTTCTAAAGCCATTAAGTGCAAGTTCAAGTCTGAGAAAGATATCCCAAAATCTAATTCAATCACCACCAAAGCATCCAAAAGCTTGAAGGGATTTCAAAGGGTAACAAAGATCAGCTTTAACACTACGCAGAAATCCATGGGGAGCCTTCCTTAAACAAAACACAGAATTTATTAAAGTTGATCCTTAAATATCTGCAGTAATGGAATCGTTCATATGGTTCTACAGTAATGGAACAGAAGTTGAATCATCTAAAATTGTTAAACCCACACATAACTTCTATTTGGCACTGGAAAGCCCTTTGGTCCGACCTATGGACATGGGTGTGTTATTGTGGAAATTCCTATCAAAACATGACGTAAAAGGAACCACAAATCTGTCCAGCATCCCTAAGTCTGCCAGTACCCTTAACTTTAGCCTACACTTTGACCCAGAGTGCTCACCAAGGGCTGTAGTACACTACCATGCAAAGCACCAGCCTAGTAAAACTGCCTCCTAATGCTGACCACCTTCCCTGCATGGTGGCTGACAAGTTACACCTGAACTAAGTGAGGTGACAACTTTATAGTAAAAGACTTACTGAAACAAAAAGCTTACTAATTCTCAAAAAGGTCTTAAAAGCAGGACCTGCCGTGACTAAGCAAATGCTGACCACAGAAGAAATTTCAATTTCTACGACAGGAATGATACACAAACTACTGTAAAAGCATTCCCTTTAGCAAGGACAAAATAAACTTTTTTCAGAAAGTATTCCATAAACTTCTACTTTTTTACTATATGTTTTGGTAACATAAGGCTTCAAAATAATGATTAAGTAATCATTATTCCCATTTGGCACATGGCTAAAAAAAATCATGATCCTATATATAATTATCTATCCCATTCCTACAGAAAACAATGTATATACAGTGTGAAACATCCACACTATATTGTGAGAACTATATGCCATTTCTAAATCAGAACTAAAAAGAAAAAACTATATGTTATGTAACAAAAGGCTTTTCCCTTGTAAAATTAGTCTTAGTGGCTAATCTCTTGAAAATTTTAAATGCATGACTGTGTAAAATATTTTATTCAATATATTTAACTTGGCCATATATACTTTTACATGTGAAACACAGGAACATAATTTCTATCAGCAATGTTAAAAATCCAAGTTAAAAAAAAAAAGTTTTGACACAGAATTAGGCAGTAGAGAAATGTCATTTTAACCTTGGTACCAGGTTAAAATCCTTCCTGGGTTGACTCTCCTATAACAAGCACTCAATTGCTTTTCAGTCTTTCATGGAATTAGACCTTTCGCTCTACTTATTTAAAGAGGACAAGTATTTACAATAATTAGTGCAAATTATTCTATTCTCATATATTATTTGCCTTCACGGATATAAAGTGATGATCAGTATTTTATAAAAACATGGAATTATGAAAATACTGTGGGCTATCAGTCTGAAATTTAAAAGATTACATTTTTAAACTAAATTCTGAGAATTTTTAAGCAGGAAACAATTGCTATAGAACTTCTTTCTAAATGTCACTTGATTTTCAATAAAAATTATTTCACACAATGCAGAAAATACAATGTATCCTGTAACAATATCTTTACATGTTAAATCCTAATCTAAAATGTATTTGAACAAAAAAAAAAATCCCTTTTAATAAATTCCAAAATCTTATTTTAACCATTACTGCTCTGCAGCAACAATTCAAGTCCCAACCTGAGAACTAAGAATGTGATAATAAAATGCCAAGGGCTGTAGCAATCTTGAAATGAAGACACTTAAGCTTCTTTCCCACTGGCATCAGGTGTAGTACATCAGAGAAATGCGAGCAATCCAAGAAAATGCCCTGAAATCAACAGTACCACCTGCCACAACTTGAAACCTTAAGTCTAAAATCTCTATTCTGATTATTTTGTAAAAGTTCTATTGCACATTTAACACTGTTAAAATATTTGCAAACTTGTAGAATTATCTGTATAAGGATTTTAAACCTATTCAGTCAAAAGCTTCCTCACTGCCTGCCAGCAATTGTTCCTAATGAAAGAGAGGGAGCATATCCATGAATATCTGAAGCTGAAGAATAAATGATTTCTTATGGTCACAGCCAATTACAATGCAAGGTAATAAGTTCACAATTTGAAGGAAGAACAGGCTTGAGCAACTGTAATTCCTCAGCACTCTACTTCAGGGATATGAACAGGTTTCTTTTAGACATGTGAAATTTGAAGTTACTGCACAGTATGTTATTTCTAAGGGAAAAAAAAAAATCAATGCAAACCTAAGTTATCAAGGTCAGTCGTAGTTTAAAAAATGAAGTTAGAATAAACAAGCAAATATAACTTTTAGTCTCCTTGATAGTTCAGCATTGTTGTTACCTTGTGCCATTTCACCACAGAAATTGTCAACAAATTCAAAGGGGTGGGGGGGGCGAATATCAACCAAAAAGTAAGGATAAGTTTATGCTTCTGATTCTCTCTTCTTTCCTCCTTCTCCCAAATCACTCTCTTCTGACTGGCTACTGCTAAGGACAACAAACTGCCCCTCACTACTGGCTTGGTTTGGTCTACTGGAAGCAGCTATCAACCGACTTTGTTCTTCTAAGTCCTAGTGGAAAAGACAGAAAAGAAACTTAAAGTTAATTTTTTGCAATCAAATAGGAGACTAAGCAGTTAAATACATACTTGAGAGCCACTTCAACTCTTCTGTCATAAATATGTATGCATAATTCTGGCAACTTACTGAAAAGAAAGACTACACACAACCAATGCAACACCGAAGTAAAATCTGACACTTTTCTAGGAAACCTATAAAAGCCAACATGTCACTCTTCTCCACTTTTATGGCCAACAACTTACATTCAAGCCATCATTATCTCTCATTATAAACTACAGAAAAGGCTCATAATGAATCACTCCACATCCCCTCCCTTCCCTCTCTCTAATATGTGTGTGTGTGTGTGTGTGTGTGTGTATTCACACACACACACAACTACCATTGATGAAAGCCATATATATATCTCCTCTCAAAAGACCTACTTTGACAGAGACAACCTTCCAACCTCTTCTGGAATATGTAGTATGTTTGCTAAACAGCAAGTCACACTACATGTCAATATAACTATAATGTAAACATTGTATCAGAAGACAGATGTCAGGAATTCCCTGGCAGTCCAGTGGTTGGGACTCTGAGCTCTCACAGACGAGGGCTGGTTGGGGAACTAAGATCCCACAAGCCGTGCGGCACAGCCAAGAAGACAGATGTCATCCTTTTCTGCTATGCTATGAATCATCTGGTTATGTATGAAGTGGCTGAGCAAGTAGAAACAGACCTTCACTTGAAATTTCCAATATGAAAGTCACAGTGCTGAATTAAGGAAACTCTTCATAAATATCATATCTAGTCAGAGAAGATCTAGACATTAGGACTGCATACCTTTTCAATTTGTTTTTGTTTACTGAGTTCTTTCTGTTGCTTCTCTTTTACTCTCTCTATTTCTTTTTGTTTTTCTGATGCCCTGCGATCCTGAAGACCAGATGAATACAACTAATGAATTAAATATGAAATAACTTTAAATTTTAACTTGTCAATTAATATTACCTTTGTAACCTTTTCAAATTATTATTTGCATTTATATGAGAAAGCACACCAAAGATTTACATTCTAATGTTAGCCATTTATCCAAATTCTAAATGCTATGTATCAGCAATAGCATCTATTGTTAACCTCGCATAGCAAAATCATTTTTATTTACTTGCTAATATGAAAGATCTTATATTACTTTAGTTAACATTCTTGGATAATTAAGTGTCTTGGATTCTTACCAGTTCTGCATGCAAAGCTATCTGTTTTGCCAGTCCAACAGAATCACAAATCTAAAGGGGGAACAAGTAAGAAAACCTCAGGCAGTTCTTACATCAAGTATTCAAATGGCTGATGTAACTAGTTTTATAACTCATTTTAATACACTGCTTCAAACAAAAGCTGATTTAAGAATGTTCCAGCTCCAAAACCAATCCTTTGTGTATTTTCTTCAGAGTCTGTGAGCTCCCACTGCTGGTTCTCACCTCTTTCACATACCCCACTTCTTGTTATCTCAAATTCATTACTGAGAAGGTAAAGTTGCAAAGAACAAAGCAAGCAGCTGCTGCTGCTACTCTAAGATGAAGACATTTGGAAATGGCTGATTATGGGAATATTTTGCATTCCCAGGATAAGTTAACAAAGCCAGAAGATTGCAACAGCTATCAATGGCCAGGAAGATACAGGTTTGTGGAGTCAGATGGCCCAACCCATCAGCTCAGCTCTCCTCAAAACAAGAGACTTTGGTCAAGCAACTCAGCTGGACTAGGCAAAGTTTGGGAGTTTTTCTCCAGAAATCTTAGTAAGAACTTTGACTATGACATGTATTTCACAACAGAAACACATTTTGAAAAGCCACGTACCTTTTCACCCTCATTGTTTGATTCAAATATATAGCAGACTGATGACAGATTACTTTCACTTCTCCCTCCTGATGTCCGAAGAACAAATCCAAAAAGCCTCTTATTTTCCTGGTGGGTAGCATACAAAACTACACTGGGTAATGGAAACTGCCACAGAAAACATCAGAAGCAAACATGAAATTTTTCAAACCATTAAAACAGCCCTCTTATATATGACAAACTCATGTACTAAGTTATTTAATATCCTAAATAGAACATTAGAGTCAATTGTTTTTCTTAACCGAATGGTAATCCAAGAACAAACAATGTCATATTTGGTTTGGATTGTCAGGAAATTAAAAGGTTGTTGAATACTGAATTTGTTTTATTAGTCATTAACACATTTTACAAATTCAAATTCAGTAACAAAAATAGTCTATATTATTAAATGATTAATTAGAAGCACATTTCAAAACAGATAATTATAAAATAAACTCAATCATGTTGGCCTTTTAATCCCTTAATTTAATTTTTAGTTTCTTTAGTGTATGATATATGCTCCCTAACTGAGGGATAAATATAAATACTAAGTATCACACCAGATTGCATTGATTCTTTAAGTTACAAGGAATGTTACAACTTTTTTGTAGAGATAGCCATAGACTCAATTATAACACCCTAAAGACCAATCATAATTCATGCTACCATATCTGAATATACAGAATCAGGATTATTATAAAGATGTAAGATGTGTATATGTACAAAGAGACTTAAAATAAAGCTTTAAACATGCAGAACTCACCATGAGCCTTGTAACTTGTGTCTGTGGATCAATTAACCTATAATAATAATTAAAAATTTGGGAGACAAATTTTAATTAGGCTAAAATTATGTAAACATTTTTTCCTACAGTTTTTTGAGGGACAGGTTACTACTTACTTTAAACAATCACAAGAGACTAATAAATGTGATTCTGTCATACGAAAGATGTTATGGATGGCCCGGGCAGCTAAGATTTGGCGCATTGTTTCATAAACAACATCTGGATTGTCATCTGATTTCACCTCCATAGAACCAAGGAATCGGACAATAAACAACTGATGAAGAATAGAATCTACAACAAAACAAGGTACATTATGGATTTTTAAATCCCAAATTTCTTTTCCTAAGGAATAAAATACACTGCTTTCTTTAGGTTTTCCAATGAAAAATTCAACACAGCAGAAGCATTTAGAAATAACTCCTAACTACAGTGTTCATCTTATAGAAAAATTAAGATCTCAAACTCAAATAGCAAAAGGTTATGCTTTGGCAATTGGTACTTCTGAGTTAAAAAGAATTCCTTTTACTATGCTTACAGCTTTTCTGTAAGTTTGAAATTATATCGAAGTAAATAGCTATGGGGAAAAGAAAAAAAAAGTTATGCTCCAAAACCAGAAGAAAACGAGCTGTTAGGAAAAGGTCAAAGGATATCTTACGGAATGAAAATTTGACTATGAGGTCAAAAGTATCATAATCTATAATTTTGTGCGAATAATGAAATCTTAAGTTTAAGTTCTGTTGCTTTAAGTGTACTATGAGTGAAAAGAGAAAACTGTGAAGTATAGATACCATTAAAACAGCATACAGCAAAAGAAATGTAAACACCAAATTCTTCACACAGTTTACTGCTCTGAGAATTTCTAAACTATAAGAATAGTACACTTGTTTTACCTTCAGTTTCAGATTTTGTACCTCCTCCAGATTCTCCAAATGGATTTGTACGCCTGAAAAGTATTTTAAAAAATTATGAACCAGAGGTCAGTTACCATGAGCCACATGGAAGGAACCTCAATCACTGAACCCAGAGTTAAAAACTAAAAGTCACAAAACCTTGTACACACATTTTTAAAAAGCTCCAAAATACCCCTTCCTGTTAAGGAACACTACTGATGACCAACTAACTTGTGATGAAGGCCTCTGCCCTCACACTAAGTTAACAGGCTGAACTCAAAGTTACTATATTTTAGAAGATGTGGACAGATTGCATGTTTAGCCACAGACACACAAAAATCAACATTATAATAAAACATGTTGCAAAAGTTCTTGAATTTAAATAAAGTAGGACAGAGAATGGCTAATTTAGCTACAACTTTAGGTACATGAGAAAAATGCCAGGAATTTCCTTGGATTGTAAAAAACCTTTTTTTACGTCCTCTAAGTACATGTCGCAAGTTAACTATGATAATTTGAACATTTTCTAGTTTTAAACCTGTATTTCTCAAGACATACGTAACAGAATGCAAGAAGAAAAGCTAACTAGAGGTGGAAGCTCCCTCCCTCCTTAGTGTGCATGGCTCATGACACACCCACAACGAAGGAAGAAAAGTACAATCCAAAGTAGGTTTTATAGACAAACAGAGAGCTAAGTGGTTCTAAAATAACACTGGCTTTAAGATAACATGAAATTATCTCCCTAATACATGTCTGACCTATCATATCAAATGCTAAGTATATTTCTGTGATCAAGAGTAAATTATCTTTTCTTGGTCATGGGCATGTATATTCCATATTACTACATTATCAATTTATTAGGTGCCCCACCTACTTAATAAATGATTTGCCTTAAGCCACGTTTCCTTCATCCATAGCCAAAGAAAAATTTTAACTGCTTTGACAAGGATTTCTCATTATATAAACAAAAGGTAATTCATTAATAATTCATAGCATGACAGTGTTCCTTCCTGGAGATTTCTTATTCTGAAACAAGATAACTTTTTTTTTTTTTTTAGTTGCGGCATGCAGGTTTCTTAGTCGCATCATGTGGACTTCTTAGTTGTGGCATGCATGCGGGATCTAGTTCCCCAACCAGGGATCGAAGCCGGGCCCCCTGCATTGGAAGCACAGAGTCCTACCCACTGGACCACCAGGGAAGTCCCCTAGATAATGTTTTCTAATAAACCTGTAGCACATGTATTACTCTCAAGAATTTTAAAAATATTGTCATGACGGAAAAATAGGACTGTCATCTTTCTTCTGTAATTTTATGAGTAAATACCTTAGAAGTAGATCTGATAAACAATTCAGAATTGAGTATTTTTAAAACTAAATTATCTAAACTCATTTAACTGAGGCAAAAAACAGAGAAAAGCCTGCATGATTCTTCTCCAACTATCAAAATTCTGTTAGGTAATTAAACAAAGAAAGTAAAACATAGCTGATGCACAAGATATATGAGAGATGGCTCTCAACTGTAGAAATTGGCTCATAAGCCCTACAGCCCTACAGACCTTCCTATCACCCACCTGCCTCCCTGGCCAGAGGCTTTTGCCTGGCCAGGCTGATCTTCACACACAGGAGAAATGATGTCAAACTGTATTGGGGTGTCTGGGGCAACGAGAGAATCTAGAGAGAGGGCAGCCAAATTTGTGGACTCAGATCCTATGGATCCTGAACTGCTGGTTCGAGCTGTCAGTGGCCGAGATTGTCTAAGCACAGAAGAAAAGAAGAAGGCATTGCATTTAGTTTTCTCTTTGGGAAATTAAACACTTAAACTATGAGAAAAGAAAATACAATTTTATAAGTCGATGAGAACAAATTTTAATAAACACAATCCCAAATCACAGCTACTTTGTCAAAAGACTTTATCAAAAGACTTTTTCTTTACAATTACTAAATCCAGAAACGTAAATCACTTTAACCTAGAGACAAACACAAGGGAAATTTGGAATCATCATTTATTTAGCACTCTTGCTGGTAAATTTACCGATTTGAAATACATTTTCTAGAACTATTTCGTACTAATGTAACTAGCACTGCTAAAATCAAAGTGTTTGCTAACACCTTCAATAGCCCATATAGTTCTTTAAATAGCCCACACACTGGTAACTCACCCTGCTGGCCGCAGGCTCTCGTGCCTCTGCTGGAAAGACGGGGAAGGAGTGACAGCTTCCAAAGCTGACTGATTTACTCGTGCAGCAATTTCCTATTTTTTTTTTAAAAAAGGACGAATTAGTAAAGCAAGAAAACCAAAAGTTTAAATATAACTCTCTGAACTGTCAGAATGTCCCTGAGTTACACTTAAAATGTAAATTGAAGTTACTAAAGTAGTTCCACATTCTCTTGTCTTAGTATTAAGACACATAATTAACTTCACAACATTATAACTTAAGTTTCCTCTTACTTCCTGTAAACCTAGGGGGAAAATCTGATTTTTTTCTACTAATATACATAATAGGGAATATTTTTTCTTTAAATTTTAACTATCAAAGTTTTTTTAGATTAAGGTTTGTATTGCTAGCACCTAGTACAGTGCCTAGCATATGGGCACTCAAATTTGCTAAATAAAGAAATTTAAAAGGAGTAGGAAATAGTCACAAAATATTAAAGTATTTTATAACTATGATGCTGAAGTTTTCATGATTTTCTGGAATGTATTTATGCTCAGAAATATCTGTGTATTTATTAATAAAGTTATCATGGATATTTTCGGCCAAATTTGAAAAAAAGCTTTCCATAAGAAATATTTTAAAACTTATTAAAATATTAAACTTATTAAATAATTTAAAACATTATTTAAAACACAAGCTAGGGCTTCCCTGGTGGTGCAGTGGTTGAGAGTCCGCCTGCCGATGCAGGGGACACAGGTTCGTGCCCCGGTCTGGGAGGATCCCACATGCTGCGGAGCGGCTGGGCCCATGAGCCATGGCTGCTGAGCCTGCGCGTCCGGAGCCTGTGCTCCGCAACGGGAGAGGCCACAGCAGTGAGAGGCCCGCGTACCGCAAAAAAAAAAAAAAAAAAAAAAAAAAAAACACAAGCTAAATAAAATAACATGTACATTAGAAAAAATAATCACAAAACATTTTTGCACTTCTGTGTCTTAGCAAAAGTATGAAGACAATGCCACAAATTGATCAAAATTTCTTCTCACTAATATAAATAAAATAATTCTGGATAATGTGGAAAATATTAAAACTCTGACTTCTGATAATTGGCAGGAGAGTACAATAAGCCTGACTTATTCAAATCCAAACACTATATTCCCTTTGTATTCCTTAGGTATTAACAAGTCATCTAATTTGCATTTTAATTTTTTGTTGTTCCCAAGTGACATAACAGAAAGAAAAAGCAAGATTGGCAGGAGATCAAGTTACTAAAAGCAGAAGACTTCTCTACAGTTAGCACTGATATTCTTAGATTAAACTCATTAGATCATTATAAAGCTAACAGAAATAACTAATATTTTTCAGGTCATGAGATTTTGCTTCTTTAGTTCAAAACTTTTTTCCTAGGCATCCAAATCATATGTGTCTTGGACGGTACCTCAAAACCATTATGGTAAAAACAGAACTCTTCTTTTCCAAATTGTTCTTCCCTTCATTTGGGCTTAAAACCTGGAAGTCATCTTTGTCTCCTTCATCCTTTATATTGGTCAGTTTCTTCATCCTTTACATCGGTCAGTTACTAACTAGTCCAGCCAATTTCTTTTTACCTGTTTCTATGATTCATTCTTCTCTCTTCCCTCAGGTTACCACCATGTTCAGACCCTCAATTTGTGCCTAAACTATAATGGCCTCCTACATGTCCCCCAACAGTCCTGTCTAATTAACCGCTACACCAACAACAGTTTAAGACTTAGAAGGGTAGGGCTTCCTAGAGAAATTAGCCCCAATCTGCCTCAACTGAAACCGTAACCCCCACCCCCAGCCTCCCATCAGCCCCAAACAGCCCTGGGAGGCGGCCGGGTTCACAGCCTAGCTGGGCCTACCAAGACTGGCAGAGGTCAGATGGCTCCTCTCTTAAACCAAGTCTCTTCCCAACTACACTGCAGTTAGGACTCACTGGTCCTTCCAGAGTTCTCTGCACCCCGGGTTCTGCCTGCATGTTTGGACTGCATCTACAACTCTGTCTACACTGCTGATTTCATCTGATTTGATACCCACTACTCAAAGCATAACTGGCAAAACTTGAGAGTTCAGGTTGCCTCACCCCAGACCTACTGAAACGTAATATGCATTTTAACAAGGTCCCCAGGTGATTTGTATGCTCATTTCAGTTTTCTGTTATTCTCCAACAAGACCTTTCAATTCTAATTATACAACTAATTTCACAAACACAACATTTCTGCATTTGTGCTTTTGTTTTTATTCTCTTATCTACAATGTCTTCTCTTTTCCTCAGAATCTGGACAAATCCGACCTAGCTCAGGTTTCTGCCATCTCCACAGAGTTTTCTCTAAAACTAAAATCCATACTGATCCTTTTTTTTTCTTATTTTTTAACATCTTTATTGGGGTATAATTGCTTTACAATGGTGTGTTAGTTTCTGCTTTATAACAGAGTGAATCAGTTATACATATACATATGTTCCCATATCTCTTCCCTCTTTGTCTCCCTCCCTCCCACCCTCCCTATCCCACCCCTCCAGACAGCCACAAAGAACCGAGCCGGTTTCCCTGTGCCATGCGGCTGCTTCCCACTGGCTATCTACCTTACGTTTGTTAGTATATATATGTCCATGTCTCTCTCTCGCCCTAACACACCTCACCCTTCCCCCTCCCCATATCCTCAAGTCTGTTCTCCAGTAGGTCTCTGTCTTTATTCCTGTTTTACCCCTAGGTTCTTCATAACATTTTTTTTTCTTAAATTCCATATATATGTGTTAGCATACGGTATTTGTCCTTCTCTTTCTGACTTACTTCACTCTGTATGACAGACTCTAGATCTATCCACCTCATTACAAATAGCTCAATTTCGTTTCTTTTTATGGCTGAGTAATATTCCATTGTATATATGTGCCACATCTTCTTTATCCATTCATCCGACGACGGGCACTTAGGTTGTTTCCATCTCCGGGCTATTGTAAATAGAGCTGCAATGAACATTTTGGTACATGACTCTTTCTGAATTCTGGTTTCCTCAGGGTATATACCTAGTAGTGGGATTGCTGGGTCATATGGTAGTTCTATTTGTAGTTTTTTAAGGAACCTCCATACTGTTCTCCATAGTGGCTGAACCAATTCACATTCCCACCAGCAGTGCAAGAGTGTTCCCTTTTCTCCACACCCTCTCCAGCATTTATTGTTTCTAGATTTTTTGATGATGGCCATTCTGACTGGTGTGAGATGATATCTCATTGTAGTTTTGATTTGCATTTCTCTAATGATTAATGATGTTGAGCATTCTTTCATGTGTTTGTTGGCAGTCTGTATATCTTCTTTGGAGAAATGTCTATTTAGGTCTTCTGCCCATTTTTGGATTGGGTTGTTTGTTTTTTTGTTATTGAGCTGCATGAGCTGCTTGTAAATTTTGGAGATTAATCCTTTGTCAGTTGATTCATTTGCAAATATTTTCTCCCATTCTGAGGGTTGTCTTTTGGTCTTGTTTATGGTTTCCTTTGCTGTGCAAAAGCTTTGAAGTTTCATTAGGTCCCATTTGTTTATTTTTGTTTTTATCTCCATTACTCTAGGAGATGGGTCAAGAAGGATCTTGCTGTGATTTATGTCATGGAGTGTTCTGCCTATGTTTTCCTCTAAGAGTTTGATAGTTTCTGGCCTTACATTTAGGTCTTTAATCCATTGTGAGCTTATTTTTGTGTATGGTGTTAGGGAGTGATCTAATCTCATACTTTTACATGTACCTGTCCAGTTTTCCCAGCACCACTTATTGAAGAGGCTGTCCTTTCTCCACTGTACGTTCCTGCCCATACTGATCTTAATATTCTGAAATCTTAAGCTTTCAGTCATCACCATACACTTTCAATTTATATGAAATGTTACTTAAAGTTTTAGTTTTCTCTTCCCACATACATAAGCTCCTGGAGGACAGAGGCCATGGCCTATTTTTCTTCTATATCCCCTTTCTCCATGGTGCTCAACACAGTGCTAAACACAAGGTTGATGTCTACTTACATTTGTTGGTTGACTGATTTCAGTACGTTCTGAAATAATTTACTCTTCTAGGAAGACCAGATACTCATTCTATTCATGATATATGAAAGCTGCCCATTCAAGGGCAAATTAAAAGATTACAGAACTTGAGAAAATACAATAAAAGCCATATAAGCCACAGAATTATTCAATTTTGCCAGATCTGGATACATAAAATAAAAATATTACCTCTGGGTTTTCACTTAAATATATCTGTTTAGATATGTTATTTATTGTACAGATCCACTGCAAGAGGAAAAAATAGAAAAATACGATTAATATTTTTCCTACAATGCTTCCCTTCTAAAAGAGAATGTTTAATATTTAACTGACATAGAAGTTTCACTAGAATAACATATAATCTTTCTTATGAGATAAATACCTTCCTATATACAAAAGCATATATATGTACAACATATGAAGGTATAACAGAACACTGAACAGATTTGTTATTTTTAAATCCCAAATTTATTTCATACAAGGAAATAAAAAATATAGCTATCATGTTAAACTGTAATTTAATAGTCTATATTTATCTTTTTATATCACACCCCCCTCTAATCCCCACCAAATAAGACAGTCTGGACTCAGATACCATGATTAATACCAATGTAAAAAAAGTTAAGAGCTAAATATATTCCTTGTGCATGTATTTTACATACTTCCCTTTCAGGTTTATAAATAACACAGAAAACACTCTCTGCCCCACATCCTCTGCTTCACTCTCAAGTATTCCAGTGCCTGAGGAGCCTTACAAAGCTAACCTAATATTCTGTTTGGTAAACCCTGCAAAGAACAGACATATGTCTGTATTCCTCAGAGACCAGAAGTAGGTTTTAATACCTACTCTTTTCCATAAGAAGTAAATAAAAGTTGATCTCTACATAATTTCTAACCTTGTCTTTTACCAGCACAATTATATAGTAACAACTTACCTTCCATATTTGGTGAACGACAAGTAAAAATGGAGCCAAAAACAAAAGACTCACGAGGAAGAACAAACACTCCCAAATTTTTGTTTTTCTGTCTTTCATTTCCCCAAGGTTTTAAGCTTTAGTTGCTTCCTGCCATGCTACATCTGCCACTATGTTCTTAATGCAGCAAATACTGTCTCAGAGAGTTGGTAAGAGAAGGGAATAGATTAAACTTGCCTCATGATACTAACAGCCTGCCAGAAAGCAGCAGTCACAAGGTCATTTCTGAATTTGAGCTTTTAAAAAGACAGCAAGAGATGATCTCTAAGGTCTCTCCTTATAGGTCCAGTTGTAAAATTCCATGTGAAACTTAAGAATGTTGCTTGAGGACAATAGACTTTTATGAAAAAAAGATTTGTAATTAACTAGGATTTTCCAAATTTCTATAATGAACACATCAATATGTTTTATCATCAGAAAAATATCTTAAGATGATGCTTAAGAAATTAAGTAGATAAAATTTTACCTCTTCATGGTCTTTTTTACTCTCTGCTTGCAAAATTGAAGACCTGAAAAAAAAGAGAAAAAGTTTGACAGTCAACTTTTTTCTAAAGTACTTTTAACATGAGTGAGAAATTTTTATCTTTAAAGATACACATCAGTATGAAACAAAGAGAAAACACATAACCAACCAGTATCTTAAGGAAAGGAGACTATCAGAGGTATCAGAACTCAGATTTTAACAACTCTTGACTTTGTCTATCTATGCCAAGATGTACCAAAAAAGAAATGTGCTGGTTTTCAGAAGGCAGCCTATAACAAAGGTACATTGACACTAAGACAATGCATTTCAACTTTCTGACACTTACCATATATATTTCAAACATAAATCAGTGGTCCTAATAGAAAATACTAATTTTACTTCATTATTTATTATTTTTCCTTGAATATGGTTAAGTAAAACTTTTCAACATATTAATCACTAACATAGGGATATGTAGCTTTTCTATAGATGTTAATATTTTAAGAGTTAGAAAAAATTTTTTTTCACTAATTTTGAATCACACCAGGAATGTGAAATGGGAAATCATGTTAAGCATTAGCAAAAAACAAAATGTAAAGACATCCAGTAACGTTAACAGTTTGGTAATTTTGACAAATGAACAAAGGGACTCCCAACATCCAGTGTGATAAATGACACACAATAATTGACATTGTTTGTTTATAGAAGGAATATGAAATAAACATTCAGTATTTCCTCACCTATTTTAAAAATGTACTTAGAATAAAAAATAAAAACTGTAAGGCAATGACCAAAAAGTTAATTATTGCTTCTGGTTAATGAGATTATAGCTTTTTTTCATACATCTTTTTGTATAGTTCTGTGCTTCTCAAAAATTTGTTTTAAAAGCTGCTCTATGGGATTCTTGTTTAATGCAAAGGTAACAGAAGTTTAAAAAATGGCACATAAACATTAATGGCCTAAATAATTAGTTTGATCAGAAATATGTGATTAACATTAAAAATATTATTATTAGCACCTACGACATGCTAGGCACATTACATATGTTAGATTTCTATTCTACATAACAATTCACAAAATGGAAATGAAGGACCCCCCCCACCTCCATTTTACATGTAGAAAAATGAAGCTCAGAGAGGTCAGGTAACTTGTCTAACCCTGCAAAGTAGGTAGTGGATCCAGAATTTGAACTTTCTGACCCCAAGGTTGGAGCTCTTTCCACTAACTTGTGCTGCCTTCCCCATACCATGCTGGATTTTCAGTGACCAGTCTCTTAACATGAAATCCCAGGTCTTTACCACATAAACTTGCTTTGACAACCTCAAAATATTAAGACATCATTTATCTAAGTCAAAAAGGAAAATTCAACTAATTTCTACAAGATTAAAAAGAAAATTATCTTAATACATAATAATTCTAACATATGTGTACATTGTCCAAGTGAAAAGGAATTATCCTACATTTCAGTAGTTTAAAATATGACAGATTTTTTTTAATAGTAGGGAAAAATACTAACTTTTTGCCATCAAAAGAAGTGATCTGAAAACAGTATCGCCTGTCTTCACAGTCCACAGCCATTACTGAACAGTTGTCTATGTCCATGGCCAGGCCTCCTGCTACGTCCCCACGGGCCTGACTCATTAGGTTTCCACCCTGTGTGAAGTAAAACTGTCTGTCCCAGGTAGATGACACCAAGCCTGTTTTACTAAATGAAGAAAGTACATTCACTCTTTAATAACAACACACCTAAAATTCCATCATCAGCCAGACACAAGATAAAGGTAAAGCACATCACAAAGAACCACCTTGCAAAAAGGCACCAAGGTGCCTAGAAAATATAAACATCAGGTTTTCAGTCTCTAAAATAAATTCACATAAACTGACCCACATGTGTGATTGTGCATGTATATATTTCCAAAACAAGGCTGGAAATGATCAAATTACAGCTGTTATGATGCTCCATAAAATACAGTCCAACTGTATTTCAAGGGAATAAATTCAAAACAAAAGAATTTATTTTACTGCTAGGGTTAACTTGCTTTATCCTATCTTCAGGTAAAAACTAAAATTTGACTTGATGGTGTAATTACATATATTTTAAAGTATGATAATGATATTTAATAGCATTCACATGTTATGCTAGATTTATTTAAACTCAAATTGGTTTCACTTTTTAAAATAATTCTAAATCATTTGATAAATATCTAAATAGAATTTTACTTTTGAAAATTATTCATGTACCTCATCTGTCAAAAAGTTGGCATAAATACTAATAGTGGTATTAGTAAAAAGATTCAACATTTAGTAAAATCAGAACAGTTCGGAGATATCATTTATTATATTCACTTGCTATTACCTTAACGGATACACAATATATGAAAATAACAATAGTTTTCTTACTTCCTAGCATTAAGGTATCCAGCCTTTTGGGTTAAGTTTCGATTAACAGGAAATTTTGTGGGATCTGGGTCAGGCACGTACAAGGGGTCACTGGCTACTTCCAAATCCTCTATTGTCTGCTGCATGGTCTCTACATCACTGTCCATTTCCCTGCGAACACTAACAGAGGGAACAGATTATTTACTACCAACTACAACAGACAAAGAACTCCTTACCAATCTTATTTAAATGTATATTTGTTCTGTATATATTTTCCTAAAGAGAACAGCAGTGGCATGGGTGGTTAAAGTGGCGTGTTATAAAGCAGCTTTAAGTTTTATTTGAAACTTAGATATTTGGGAACAATACCAAATTCCAAAACTAATGAAGCCACATTGAATGACTCATACTTTGGAGGAATTTTCAAACTGCTCTTCCCTGTGCATTTAAAACAATCATTTTCATCTCCCTCCATATCGCAGATTAACCACATCACTGCTCAGACTTTGAACCTGATTAGAACTACTTTCTCTGTCTCTTTAATCTCTCATGGCTTGCAAAAGCAAGATTCATTTAGTACTCTCCCATCCATCCCCTACAATTCAGATAACTGTGAAGATAATTCACTTATGGATAATTACTATTATGTGTCTGTTGTATTCAGACATAAAACCTAGTCTACAATCAATAAAATACCATCAGATTTGACACTGTTATGAAATTCAGAGTTCAAATTCTGTGGAAAAGATGGTGAGAAAACCAAGAAGCATCCACAAGCCACTCGAGAAACTCTCACAGCAGGGAAAATAGCCCCTCAGAAATTAAGTGGTAAATATTTCTAGATTATGGTACGTAGCTGTTAACGTATCATTCTCATAACTTCATTTTCAATTTTAAGGAAGAAAAAACTTACTTCTGTACACTTGTTCCAATATTAGTTAAGAATTCTTCCAGTTGGTCATTGAGATTTTCAGAACCCATCTTAAAGAAACTTATCTGGGGCAAGAGGGTGTGGGAATTGGAGGGTGAACAACAGAAACACATACACACAAAATACTTAGAGTGAATCATATAAACAATCACCAAGACACATAGTTAAGTAAAAAACAAAGGATTATTTCCATCTGTGTAAAAATAGGTCGTAGTTTACAATGATTACTACTGGGCATAGAGCCACTGAAGAAACTACACTTAAATTTCACTGTGCATCATCTTATATATTAACACATGCATATAGTAAGCAAGTTTTTAAAATTGGAAAATATATTTTTAAATATTTCAAGTAAGTCATATGGATAAACTATTTCATGTTTACTACAAAGATAAGTTTTACATCTGAGGAATAATAAGTACTCATATTCAAAGGAATATTCAAATTTCTTTAAATTCTTGCTTTTAGGGGACTGCTATTTCATCTTATGTTACCCAAATTTAATTTTCTAGCCTCCTTCCTGATGTACAGCTCTTGGAATACTTTGGAGTTCATCCATTAATTTTAACTCAGGAAGTATGCCAGGAACATGAGACAAGCTCAAACATGTCCATTCTCTTTCAGATCTATTATGAAGTAAGAGTGAATGGAAGCTTGAGCAATAGGAGTAGCTTTGGAATTCATTTATCTTTCTGTTCCCTGTCCCCAACTGTGATGGGCAAGGTCTAAATACAAGGTAAGCGGTTTCATCTACCCTAAAATATTTGAAATCTTCATTTGCTAGGAAAACCCTTCTCCCTAACTTCCTTAAAATAGCACTCTGACATTTTAAAAAATGCTTTAAAATCACAGACACAAATGAGTATTTGACCTTAGTTTGTAATATCCTTACATTTAACATAAAAATCAAACTTAATATAAAGTTCTTAAGACAGTTATAATCCAAAACACAGTACAGTATTCACCTGAGCTTGCATGTACCCAAGTAGAGGTTCTAACAATGCTATTTTCTTTTTGTATTGAAGAGTATTTAATGCACAAAAATAATGCATCATGGTCTGGTGTTGTTTTTTTCTGGAAGTGTAGACATCTTCTGTTACTTCATACTTCACCTTTGAGTGAAAGATTAAAAATACTATTATTTATTTAATTTTGAATTATCTTTAGTAGTGGCTGAGGGGAAGAGACTACCCAAGGAAAAAGGTGCATCACCAGCAATTGTACATAGCTGTCTTATTTTCTGAGATAGAAATCCTGCAGAATATTGGCTAAGATAGTTTTCCTGTTTTACTACCAACCACTTTATTTTTAAAAATGCACATTAAAAGCAGCATTCTACACATAGCTATGAACTATAGTAACTATAGTAGCTATAGTAACTAAACTAGGCATGGCAGATAAGGTCTACCACATGGAGGAAAAGAAGACAACAGTCTGGTATTAGCTTAGTCATTAATCTTTGACCTTTTTCAGTTCACAGCATACCACTTGCCTCCTAGTTCTCTGGTTCTCTCCCTACTGCTCCTCTTTTCTTGTACTTGTTTTCCTTCACCCACACTTAAACTATGTCCCTTGAGTTCTTGTATTCAGACAACAAATATTTATTGAGCACCTGTTACGTAACATACATTGTCTCTTCTCTTTTCCTGCTTTCCACAGAATACCAAAGCAAGTACCAAGAATATTCTAATACACCAACGACTCCCGAAGTTTTATCTCCTGCCCCTCACTCTCCCAGTTGTCAGAGGAAGCAGTTCTCCAGATGGGTCCTGTATGCGTGAATGTGTGTGTGTATGTGCAAATGTGCTGGAAATGTACAAAACTGAAGACAGTATCCTCCTCACAAAACCTGCTCCTCTACTTTGTTTCTTAGCTCTCTTAATTTTTCCTAGATCGATCCCATCAACCAAGAATTTTGGGACTCATTTTTTATTCCTCCTCCTACCATAAGTCTTGTCAATTCTACTTGTGAAGTATCTTCCAAAAGTATTCCCTCCTCTCCACTTTCAATAACAACCTTAGCTGAGACTCTCCTAATATCTTTGCCAACTATTCCAATACCTTTTCATTGGATTCCCTCTAGTCTTGTCCCCTTCATATTTCCACTAATATTTTCATTCTGTTATCAAAATTGCATGGTGTCCCTCATCTACTTAAAATCCTTTGGTGGCTGCCCACTCCCGCTAACATACATTTTAGTCATTAACATAGTAACCTGGCCCCAAACTACCTCTTTCTTGTCGTTTGGCCATACCTCCCCCAAATACATCCTATGACCCAGACACACTGAAATGATTATCTTTCCATTATCATAATTATTGCTAGAAATAATAATAAAATCTATAAGCCAGGTACTTGGCATGCATTCTCCTTCCTCTTCACAACTACTGAGTTTTTTTGATAGAGAAATTAAGTAATCAGTGTAACCAAACCAAACCAGCTTATTTGACCTCAGGAAAATAAGTGGCACAGCTGATATTAGTTCCCAACCAGTCTGATTCCAGAGCCAGTGCTCTTAACCTTTACACTCTCCAGACTCTCCCATGTGCTTCTGCAAAGGCCGTCTTTCTTCAAGAAATGCCCTCTCCCCCAATCCCAAACCACTGACATCTGCTCAGCTTCAATGCATAATGACACCTCCTTAAAGTGTAACCTTTCCCAACTTACCAATCAAAGATATACTGTCCTCTCTGTGCTCTCCCAGCATTTTGTTAAGACTTCTTTACTGCACTTAACTCAGTATTAATTCATGTGTTCTCTTCATCCTTGTATTCTGGCAGCTGCTCTAGTCACATGCCTTCATACAGGAAGCTTTTGATAGATGTGGATTATCCACTCCTTGAGGGCAGAGGTGGAGCCTACTCACATTGTTCCCCCATAGTACCCAACATATAGTAGGTGCTCAATAAATTTTTCAAATAAATTGAAAAATGTATTTAAAAATACCTGGAACAGCCAGAAGCAATGTAAAATAAAACAAAGTTCATACTTAGAGCCTTAACTGCTTCTCTATGGCAAAGTAACAAAGTAATGTAGATCTAAAAATGTATGTATTTTATAAATATTTGCACCATCAAGTATTCAGTGAAAGCAGATCTTTGTACTGAATTTGTGAGAGAAATATTCCGTTTTTGGGTCACAGGGGCTGTTGCACAGTAATCACACCCAACTGTGGATTCCCAGAGTGGTCACTGTGTCCCTACTAGCAGCCGCAGCCTAGGCTGCAGACGCCAATTCCTGGGCACAGAGACCACCTCACTCACAAGTATCTAGAGGAGGCCTACTCTGATCAAGCCCTGGACTAGGCACTGAGAGAGAAATGATCTTAGGGAGCATCTAAATGAACTTGTTAATACTCTGTTCTTTGTTCTTTACTCAAATGCATTTCTCTTCAAATGTAGTATAATATTTCTGAATTTCACTCCTTGAAGAAGCATAAAATATATATATATATATTCCCTGTAAATGAGGAGGTCTTCAAAACAGAATTTCATTCAATTATGTATGTAACAATTCAACTTTTTAACCACTGTATATCAGAACATACTTTTGAATACATATATAAATCAAATTCAGTGTTATCAAAATACAAAGCAAAAGGAGGCAATGTTACACCTGGCATCAATTACATTTTTGGAATAGTTATGTTTACTTATAAAACTCTATCAACAGAAAAATATTTTGTTTAAAAAGACAATTATTAATTGTCTGATAATTAACAATTAACAGAAAGGCTTTGAAATAACTGGAAGGAAAGAATAAACTAAGGGCAATACAGCAAAGCATACAAAGCAACTGCTGGCTACCATTTTTAAACTGGAAAAGGGAGACCACCTAATGAAACAGGAGTAATATGTATCACACCTTGTCATTTTCTCTTTTTTTTGACAATCTGCTATATCTGTTAATTGCAGCGTCATGATCTGGAAAACAGAAATGACTATTAACAAAAATACAACAGTACTTTGCAAAACTTATAAGTGCTTTAACGGTTTTCACATGTGCATCTTTCAACAAATGTACTAAAGCAAAATAAGAATTCCCTACTATGTGATCACTCCACCCAAATGTTCCCCACAGCCAAATATCCCCCTAAAGTATGTTTCTGTTTATTAAATTGGTAAAAACATTTAATTCCAAGGAAACAGTAGTCCACTAAAAGTTTTCTGAAGTAGTTTTTAGTACAGAAATAGCAAATGCTCATTAAAGAAAATATGGAATAGACAGGAAAATAAGGAGGGGAAAATATACCGCCTTCTCAGGTATTATGAAGATAAGAAACCACAAGATTTAACTTCCTTTAAAATATTTCTTCTAGCATAAATAGTGCAACTTAAATAACAAGGATTTAAATAATATTCACTTAAACTTTTAATTAGGTTCATTCTTTTCAATTATTACATAAAATCTGGCCACAGATTTGTATTGATAAACAAATGCATCATTACAAGAAATAAATGTACAAAGTATTCAGAGCTTACCATTACTAGCAATCTGAAACACTTCCTTTAATGTCAATATTTCTGGAAAAGTTCAAGAATAATTTCAGTTTAGCATATTTATGAACTCTCTTAAATTTTGTTTAGAAAACAGTAACTGCCATTTAAGCTACTATTAAAACTCCAAATATTTCAAAGTTCAACGTTTAAAGTGAAAAAGTTATTGTGTTTCAACTAGCCTAACATTTACTATCATTAACAACAGTTACACCACCAGAAATTGTACCTGCCACAAATTGTTATATGACCCAAAAACAAAATTTTAAAACCACTGCAGGGCTTCCCTGGGGGCGCAGTGGTTAAGAATCCGCCTGCCAATGCAGGGGACACGGGTTCGAGCCCTGGTCTGGGAAGATCCCACATGCCGCGGAGCAACTAAGTCCGTGGGCCACAACTACTGAGCCTGCGCTCTAGAGCCCGCGAGCCACAGCTACTGAGCCCATGCACCACAACTACTGAAGCCCACGCGCCTAAAGCCCGTGCTCTGCAACAAGAGAAGAGAAGCCTGTGCACCGCAACGAAGAGTAGCCCCTGCTCACCGCAACTAGAGAAAGCCTGCACACAGCAACCAAGACCCAACGCAGTCAAAAATAAATACATAATATAAGTAAATTAAAAAAAAAAAAACACTGCAAATTCTAAGATATACAAATGTTCTGATTTAGTACCAGAATCCAACCTACTGATTTTTTGATACTGACTCTAATAAGTTCAAATGCTGAATGATAAAAAGAACATTTTATTGACAAGATTATGATATTCAGTCCCCTTAGATGGAGAAAAGAGGTCTTGTTTCTTGACCTTGGAAAAGATTATTCTTGAAGAGTACCAAGACAAATATTAATTCTATCTCTAAAATACACTTGTCTTTATTCCATGTATAATTTAAATACTTTATCATCCACTGATACATTAGTACAATGTTTTTACCCTATCTATACATACTTTGTAAACAAGTCTGTATGATTGTCTGAGACTGTAAATTATAAGAAAGCAGAGCCAAGTCTATAAACACTCTCATTTTATCACATAATAATCCTAAATGGGAAAAAAAGAAAGCCACCACAAGCTACTGAGACATGGGTTGTTGGATGGACCAGCCCCTACCTCCCACCACTCCAGCCCACCAACACGCCTCATCTCCTGCACCACTGTCCCAGTTCAGGCCCTGGTAACACCTCACTGGAGTGTCACAACTTCCTAGTCCATTCTCCTAGCATCAAATCCATCCTCCAAAAACAAAGGTATACTTCTTAAAGACCTTCATTGTCTTCTCTTTGCTTATAAACTCAAGTCCAACATCTTTAGCATGATCTAATCCCAACTAATCTATTTCTAGAGTTGTCTCCCGCCATCCCCCCAACACATCCAACACTGCAGCCACACTCAATTTCTCAAAACAACACATGCATTTCTACCCATAACTCTGTGCTTTCTGGTCCCTCCAGTAGAACAGTGACTCTCTTCTCCTGGCAAATTCTTCTTCCTTGCTCAGTGCTCATGGCACATCCGTGAGGGAGCCTTTCTGACACCCTCCTCTGAGCCCCCACAGCACCTTGCTCATCCCTAATTATAAGAGTACCAGAATTATCTGTTTACCCATCTCCTTCTCTGGGCTTTCTCAAGGGATGTGACATCTTATTCATGTAAGTACTCCTCAGTATCTAGCTTAACATCTAGCAGGAGCTCCTGTAAATGTTTAGCAACTAATTAAAGTAAAAGTGACACCTGCTACAGTCAAAAATGGTTAAGGTATAGAGTATTACACATTTTACAAGTAGTGATCTTCCGACAGCTAATGAAAGTAAACATAAGCTTGACTTCAATACCTTTCAGATCTCTTTCTTTAAACTGGGTAATGGGGAACATCATGGCATCAGCAAGCTGCGTTGAAAGTACCGCATGACAAGAGCTAAGCTGGTAAAAGAAAGACCAAAAAGGCCAAATAACTACAAAGAGACAACCAACCAGCATTATGGAAACTGAACAAAACCTAGTAAAAAGGTGTTGGTATAGGGATTCCCTGGCAGTCCAGCGGTTAAGACTCTGTGCTTCCATGGCAGGGGCACAGGTTCGATCCCTGGTTGGGGAACTAAGATCCTGCATGCCAAGTGGTGCGGCTAAAAAGTTTAAAAAGGTACTAATACATTTACATAAGGGAACCCTAAAATTATGTGAAAAATTCCATTTAAAACTCTCAGAAGAAAACATGTGATAACCTTGAATTTAGCAATGGTTTCTAAGATATGACACCAAAAGCACAAGCAACCAAAGAAAATATAAACTGGACTTCATCAGAATTGAAAACTTTTGTGCATCAAAGGATACTATCAAGAAAATAAAAAGACAACCCACAGAATGGGAGAAAATATTTACCAATCACATAACTGATAAGGGACTTGTATACTTTAGAATAAAGAACTCTTAAACTCAGTACTAAAAGACAACCCAATTAAAAATTGGGCAGGGAATTCCCTGGTGGTCCAGTGATTAGGAATCCTTGCTCTCACTGCCAAGGGCCTGGGTTCAATCCCTGGTCGGGGAACTGGGATCCCACAAGCCGTGAGGCGCGGCCAAAAAAAGTAAAGTAAAATAAACATGAAAAAATAAACAATTTTTTTTAAATGGGCAAAGGTCTGAATAGATACTTTTTCAAATATATAATGGTCAATAAGCATAGGAAAAAATGCTCAACATCATTAGCCTTCAGGAAAATGCATATAAAAACTACAGTGAGGGGACTTCCCTGGTGGTGCAGTGGTTGAGAGTCTGCCTGCTGATGCAGCGGACATGGGTTCGTGCCCCGGTCTGGGAAGATCCCACATGCCGCGGAGCGGCTAGGCCTGTGAGCCATGGCCACTGAGCCTGCGTGTCCAGAGCCTGTGCTCCGCAATGGGAGAGGCCACAGCAGTGAGAGGCCCGAGTACCACACACACACACACAAAAAAAACAAAAAAACTACAATGAGATTCTACTTCATACCCACTTAGATGGCTATAGTAAAAAAAATTAATGAAAATAACAAGTGTTGATAAGGATGTGGAGAAATTGGAACACTCCTACATTACTGGCAGAAGTGTAAAACTGTGCAAGAGCTGTGGAAAACAATTTGGCAGTTTCTCAAAAAGCTAAACATAAAATTATTATATGATCCAGCAATTCCCCCTCCTGGGTATATACCCAAAAAAACTGAAAACTGGCGTTTGAAAAAACAAAAACAAAAAACTTGTACATGAGTGCTCACAGCAGCACTGTTCACATTAGCCAAAAGATGGAAAACAACCCAAATCAAATGTCTGTCAACTAATGAATGGATAAATAAAATGTGGTATACATACAATGGAATTTTATTCAGCAAAACAAAATAAAAACAAAAAATGAAATTCTGATGCTTTCTACAACATGAATGAACCCTGACAACATTATGTCAAGTGAAAGAAGACAGACGCAAAAATCCACAAATTGTATGAGTCCATTTGTATGAAATATCCAAAACAGGCAAATCCATACAGACAGAAAGCAGATTTGTGGTTGCCAGGAGCTGAGGGGAGGGAGGGAGGGAGTGACTACTTAATAGGCACCTAGTAGGTTTCCTTTGGGATGATGATGAAAATGTTCTGGAACGTCAGTGGTGGTTGTACAACATTGTGAATGTGCGAAATGTCATTAATGGTAAATTTTATGTATATTTTACCACAATAAAAAATTCCATTTCCTATAAATATTTCTTTAAATTGATCTCCTGTGACAATATTTTGCTATGATGAGTTATTAAAATATTTCAAAAAACTACTTTTCCAGTTAAGAGACTAGAAAAGACAGAACTACCTAATGGCTCATCTGAAAAGAAGAGCTTTCACTGCAGTAGTACAAAATAGTTATGGATGGATTCTCCAAACATTTCTCACCACCTTGCTTCCTCTTGGCTTCTAGGTCTTAATGATTTGTTCTGCTGACTGGTAGAGAAATTAAGGGTTGGTATTGGTTGTTTTGGAAGCAAGGATTAATGAAAATGAACGGTAAAATACTGCTCAATGTAAAAAACAGAGAAACCATAAAGAGCCCAGCTATGGCTAACAGCTTAACTCTTCTCTCCCTGCCTACATCAAACTACACAATTAAAGGCTGAATGGTACATGAAAGTAGAGACAGCACATCTATATGTTTATTCCTGGAAAACAATTTGCTTTAATCAGACAAAGATAGTGTTGTTTTTACGAGACAGGCACCAAGATTTGGAAATAAGGCCCTTCTTTAAATAGTAATCTTTAATCATTGAGATTTACTCATAAAATTATAATAATAAAACTTCCCAATAAAAGCTAAACAACTTCAGTAACTTAATTATAAGATCACTTATCCAAGCAAAATAAAATAAGCATTTACCTCATCTATAACTTTTGAAAACTGTTGCAAAGTAGAACTCATAACTTCATCATCACCCCCCAGTGGAAAACGCTGAAAAGTGAGAAACAGAGATGAGGTAAAGGTCCAATGCTGTATGTCTTTTGTGAGTGACATTATAATTTTTAATTTTTAAATAACTTCAGAAAACTTCTAAAATTTTGAATAAGCTCTAAAAACATCGTTTTAATAAAATAATGTAATTCATATAAGTAGTACACATTAATTAAAATGTTTGCTAAGTGACCAATCAACATGGTATACAGGAATGCACACCATACTAGAAGTTCAAAGATTTAAAATTAGCTCCAATTTCTCTACTAGCCAGCTATGTAACCTTGAGCAAGCCTCAGTTTCTTCATTTGAAAAAAGAGAGGTAAATTAGATAACCTCTGTGTCTAACATTAAATCATTAAAATTAGATATAAGTGCATAATGGAATTTCAACGGCATATCAAAATTACCTTCTGTGAATCCCAAAAGGCTTAGAATTATTGATAAGAAATTCTATTTATCTATACAGATACTGTATCACTGCATATTTTAAATTATACTTTTAAAACTTTCATATATAGTACCTGTTTTTCATATTCTTTTAAAAGTTTTGAAGTCAGGTGTGTTGCTGCACTTAATTCATTCTACAGGAAAAGATGAGCATTCAAATTAACACAGTAGTACAGATTAAGAAAAAAGTTATAATTGAAGATTCCTATGCCACTTTTATTTATCACTTAACATAAATATTGTACAACATGTTCTCAAAACCCCTCATTAAGCCATTGGAAAGGGAACTACCACTAAGCACTTTAAAGGGAAACTCAAACCACGAAATAGACACCATCAAAGAATTCAGCAGTGTTCCAGGTGTGTGCTTTTTCTTTTTAGCTAATAAAAACGAATAGTTAAAGCTTTAAAGCTAGAAGTAAACTGTACAAAATGTTAGCCAGAATCTTCAGAGAGTCTACATTGATAACTGATTATCCCTCTCTCTAGATGCTGATACTAGACCATGAGAAGCATTTAATAACATACAACCATATGACCTAGTCATACCATATAGCAATGTAGCCATATGAAGGAAATACTTTTTTTAATTTAAAGGGTTTTTTTCAGTGATGAATATAATGACATATGTAATGTTTCTTTTACATATTAATCTGTGTGGTCAGAATCAAATTCTTGAGCAACCTATCACTAAAAAAATAAATAAGTAACTAGTACATAATGAAAATTTGAGTCCAGAAAGAAGAGAAATTGAGAAGGGGCAAAAAAGAAACTTGTACACTTAATTAATCCCAAAGAGAGTTTATCATAGAACCCAGGTTGCTGTTAAGGCTTATAATTAAGTTACATAAACAGAGCCTCAAATCTTATGCCTGTTCAACCAAAATAATCTAGTCACATCCTTTTAAAATTCATCTCCTAGTACCCCAGAGCTATATCTACTCTTTATTACCTTCTAACTAGATAGAGGCTAGCTACTTACAAATCCTCTGCTCAAAAAGGGGAAGTATCCCATAAGATTAAAAGCATGATTAGGGAAAATACTGGTGACAATACAGGGTTTTAAGTCAAATCTTACACAAAGATCACTATCAATGAGTTTCACTAAGAAAGCCCTTACTATGTTTGGGGAAAAGGAGCAGATGCTTCAATCTTCATCACTTTTGTAGTGCTACAAACTATACACTAGTAAGTGAAATGTAAGCTCTGTAATATAAAATACTTAATGTTCATTCATCCATTCAACAAATGTTTATTACTATGCACCCTGGACAGGGCTAGGCACCAGTAAATAAGACAGACACTATCTCTGTCCTCATGGGCTTAAAGATTTATTTTATAAATGTACTGAGTCAGCCTTTAGTTCTTTACCTGTGCATCATAAATCCGATGCATAGCTTGATACAACTGGTTCATATAGTTGGAAATAGCTGTAGCATCTTCTTCAAATACACCCAGTAAAGACCTTGTCTGTATAAAATAAAAGCAGTAAGTTTATGTTAACCATTATACAAATCAAGTGGAAATCTTTTTTTCCTAAAAGATGCAAAAATCACAGGATATCAGAACTCTAACAATTCTGAGTTTTGATCTATTTTCTCTCTTTTGATAGTAATGCCAAGATGCTAGGGTTCTTTATTCTCAATTTCACTTCATTAAAACAGATAGATTTTCCAACTATGTTATATAAACCTCAGAAGGAACAACAAAGGTATATTTTTATGAATTAAAAAGTCTGTAATTAAGAACAAATCTACAGAATCAGTCAAGGCTATATTAACAGTATTCTATGTATAAATATTTTAAATCTTTTTTCAGGATAAATTAGTATGATTATTTCCCTCTCTCTCTCTCTTTTTTTTTTGGCTGTGTTGGGTCTTCATTGCTGCACAGCGGCTTTCTCTAGTTGCAGCAAGCAGGGGCTACTCTTCGTTGCGGTGCATGGGCTTCTCATTGCAGTGGCTTCTCTCGTTGCAGAGCACAGGCTCTAGGCACGTGGGTTTCAGTAGTTGCGGCACGTGGGCCCAGCAGTTGTGGTGCACGGGCTGCTCCGCAGCATTGCAGTGGCTTCTCTCGTTGCAGAGCACAGGCTCTAGGCACGTGGGTTTCAGTAGTTGCGGCACGTGGGCCCAGCAGTTGTGGTGCACGGGCTTAGTTGCTCCGCAGCATGTGGGATCTTCCTGGACCAGGGATTGAACCTGTGTCCCCTGCATTGGTAGGCAGATTCTTAACCTCTGTGCCGTCAGGGAAGTCCCTGGTTATTTCTCTTTCTCCATAGTCTCTTCTAGTAGTGCCAAACCCCTCCCCCTCATAATCCAAAATAACACCATAGTACCCCTTCTCCTCCCCAACATGACCTGTAAAATGCTAACTGGGTTTTTTCTGAGTGCAGAATTTGGAATCATTTTTCTTCTTTATACATTTCTATGTTGTTAGGCTTTTTTTTCCCCCCCACAATGAGCATGAGCGTGTAAAAATTACCTTCACTTTAAGAGTAAAAACTTGTTAGTCAGTAAATGTTAAGACTGTCAATAAAAAGGATCAGAGATAAGGAAACTCAGCATAAAGGCAAAGTATGTTCACCTTTTTATATCCCAAAGGCAGGATAAGAATTAAATTCCAACGATTATTGAGATAACTACAGCTTAAAATCTAAAAGATGACCTTGTACTTTTATTCTACAAATAGTTAATTTATACCTCAGCCTCAGAAGCTGGTTTCTAAAAATCAACTTATTCCTTAGCTTCCTATTTTCAGAAGAGAAAGCTAAGTCACTATGGTTGTTTTAAAAAGCAGCACAAAATCATTATGCCAGTATATGAAGTCCAAGTTATCTCAGTCCTCTACTTCCCAATGCCCCAGAGATTTAGATCTGGCAGAATCTTTTTATTTTTTAGCTCTAGTGCCCTACTGCCATTCCCCAAGTGCTATTTTAAGATGTAAAAAAGAAAGCATCATGAAATCTTGTTTCGCTAGTGCCATTCTTAAGAAAAGTGTGCCACTAACATTTTTTTTTCTTCAAAAATTAGCATTCTAATTCAAGGAATAACACATTTATGCAAAAATGTGTAGTGGACTTAAATTAAAAAGATGTTCTTAGCCTCAGACGGGGTTGAAACAGCTTCCTTATGTAAAGCTAATAAGATTGAGTTCAACACTGTATAATGACTGTTTAAAGTTAGCAGCTTGCAAAAATGCAATCAATATGGTACCATTTCATTGAATCTATGACGGCATCCACTGTGAGCTGTGCCAGTTTAATATACTACTGTCACAAATAAAACAATGCTGGCAATTAAGCTATGAATTCAGGTTTTCTAATGTCTTGAAGTTTTTACTTTATATTTATGGAAACAGACCTTTGACAGAATTTTTTATATAACTCTCATATAAACACAAAAAAGAAAACACAAGTTGCACAAATTTAATATAACCCTAAAATTTCAACTCTTGTGGGTAATTTTTTGACATAAGAGACACTGCTAGCCATGTTTTCACATCCAATATTATTCTGTGCCACGAGCAGGTGACAAATGTTTCTCAGAAGTGCTCCACTTTTATCTCCAATATTTTCTTCCAAATTATTGATACCCAGTCAGCAAGTTTTGATGGCAGCACTTGCTTCATGTTACTAGCTGTCAAAGAAATATTTTCAGACAAAAAACAAGACTGATAATCCTTCAAGTGGTTGTGAATTGATTTGTTGGCTGAACATTAAAAGGCTACACTTAGCCACTCATGTCTCTAGGAGAAATAATCAAGTGTGTACATTTGCAGGCAATTACAAGTAAAACAACATCAAATGTAAGGGGCATCTCAATATAAGAGATGTCAAAACGTGAATTTAAAAAAAGTACATCTCATAATCTTTGAGTATTTCATATTATGTCAAAGAGAAAAGCCTCCATTTGGGATTGGAGTTTGCCTTCACAGTTCTAGCTTAGATGGATCATTGATAAGATTTTTACCTACATATAAAATCAGTTATTTTTTTAAAGATCATATCTTTTCTTACTAAATAGAATGTTTAATTTTGTTTCTGATTTTCAAAACAATATATAAGCATTGATAAGGCATCTAGTATAGTCTTAAGATTTCCTACTTCAGTAGAGGGTATCTTTTGCAGAATGGTATGTTTGTGCAACATAATTCTAAAGATGTTTATGTGCCATCAGCTGGATTTGGACTTGCAAATATACCCCTATTTTAATACTTTGCTACTTTAAATTAAAACTAAAAAAGGATAATTGTAATTCAGGGTAGTCTTTCAAGACTCCCAGGCTCTAACTTTTTTACATAGCAACTGGCAGGCCACTTTTGACTAGGATCAAATAATCTAATAAAAACATCTCTATCGGGAGCTTTAGAAGTTTTCCTCCTCTTTGTTACTCAACTTCTTGGACTCTATCCTAGATAAATAGTACAGATAAGAACAAAAATTGATGCCCAAAAGCATTCATCTTAGCACTATATATAAAAGCAAAACTTGGGAAAAACTCTAAAAGTCCAACAACAGGACAACTATATTAAGTGAGTCAAGGAAATGTGCAACCTTTGAATTTTTTATTCAGTATGTAATAAAGTGTGGAGGTACTTAAGCTACAATGTGTAGTTAAAGCCAAATAAAAATCGTTATGCATAATATAATCTCAATCACATTAGAAGGTGTAAGAGAAAAAAACTAGAAAAAAGAAAGCAAACTGTTAATGGAATTTGCTGCTGGGCGCACGACAGGTAACTGTGTGCTTTCTGTATCTTCCAATTTTTCTGAAGCAAACAACTATTATTTTTATAATCAAGTACAAAGATTAAAACATTCACTATCTATAACAGCTGAAGTTCAGAGAAGTTAAGTGACTTGCCCTAAGGTAGAAGCGGCAGTATTGACTAAAGTAATGACTAAGCAGTAATGACTAAGCGGCAGTAATGACTAAAACCCTTATATCCTGAATCCCCAATCCAGGGCTTTCCATCTTGCCACAGGTTTTCCCCAAGAATTGCTTCTCAGTGTCTTACCCTTCTAAATCCCAGTTGTCCCAATTAATTTTCCCAAGTAAACATTAACTAGTTCAAATTTACTACTTCTAGAAATTGAAAGACTATCAACGTGGCTATTTCATTAAAAATTACCAAAAAACTAATACTAATACAGCACATGCTTGTAAAAAAAGAAGCTCAAGTTGTAAACTAATTGTGTGAAAAGTTCAAGATATTAGATGAGTCAAGAGATTATACCCTCCTAAGTCATGGCTAGGGCACTGTGTAACCCATTCTGAGCAGTGTGTAGTCTTTATGAGCTATAAAAGCGAGCCCAGGTATGAGAAGAAAGGTAAGGCACCTGTTGAGTCTTATAAAATAAAAAAGTAAAATGACAAAAGTACACCTGACCAATACATCCCACAAAATTTTTGCTAAACATCTGAAACAAATGTAGCTTATGACTTTATACTACAGAAATCGTTAAGCATTTGAACTGGCTATTCTGGCAGTCAAAATAAGCCAAGAAGTCAGTTTCTCTTTGTGTCAATATAGGCTGATAAGAGTACATTACCAGCAGGCAACTGGCCTGTAAAGATAACTTTCAGCGTGAAAAAAAACACAAATCAATTCCACAATCAGAGCCCAACTTCAACTTGGCAATCAAAATTGGCACCACACCCATGGCAGACATATCATACAGTAAAGGGGGATCCAGCCCCTCCCTTCTGTTCTTTTGGAGTCATATTAAACCGTCAAGACACATGAAATATGTGCAGTTGTAGTTCTAAATGAACAACATTTGAGAAAATTTTCTTCATTCTAACTGGTAGCCAACCAGCAACACCGTCTTAAATCCCTCATTGTGTAAGAGACAGACCTAGGGATGAAGTTTCTCAACGCAAGTTACAGCACCTACCAACATGGTTTTTAACATCGCTGATTTCATACTTCAGTACTGAAAACATCAGTAATGGTTACGTGTTCCTAGACTATCTTAAGCTAGAGCAACCACACTAGCATCATTCCCAACGCACAAAACACAGGGCTTTTATTTTGATGAGTTTATTAAAGCCAAGTCTGCAACGAGGGCGCAGCAGTCGTGGAGCCGCGAAGGCGCCATCCTCCACTGGGCGTGCATGGTCCAAGTGACAGCGGCTACACTCACGGCCACGACACTCGGCCGAGAGGCTCTGGTACCCTTGACGGGCTTCGCCGAGGACTCTACGCACGGGCATATCAACAGCCTTTCAGCATCTCCCCCCCCCCAAAAATAATCCATTTCCTTCCCTAGCTTGGTCAGAAATCATTAAGTCTACGGGGTCTTTTCTCCTTCTGCATTTTCTCCGAAGAGGTTTTCGAAGAGAAAATTCCAGGATCGGGATTTACCACCTCACATCACGGCGATTATAAAGCATCTTTTGTCAAATACAAGGGAGCCCCGCGCGCGTATGTGACCGCCGGGCCCACGAGCCAAGGCGGCCGCGGCTCTGTCGCAGCCTGCCGACGTCCCAGACCCCGCGCGCGGCTCTCGGCCCAGCGGCGCAGGCCCACGCGGGCCTCGGCAGGGCGGCCGGGTCTCCGCGCTCGGGGCGCCGCCCGCTACAGGCGGGGGCACTTGGGGGCGGCGCCCACCTAGGCCAGGGCTGGCACCTGCGGCCGCTGCGATGCCAGGCCTGGGGTCGGCCAGCCCCGCTCCTTCCCTCGCAGCCCGCCGCCGCCCGCGCCTCACCTGCGGGCTGTCCTCCAGCGTCTCCTCGATGGGCAGCTTGTCGATCCCCGGCATCGTGGCGGAGGGAGGGCCGCAGCAAAAGACGCGGCGGCCGCCCACAGCTCCCGCGCCCGCCCGCCTGCAGCAGCTGACCCCGACCCGCCCTCTCTCGATGGGTCTGCCGCCCTCGCCAGGCGCCAAGGAGCTGCGCTGCCGCGCGGGAAATCCCGCCCCCTTGGCCTGACTGCTCCGCCTCCAGGCGCGCCCATTGGCTCGCGGCAACGCCCGTCACCGCGACGGGGCTGGCCCGGAGGTTCCTTCCCTACTCTGGGCTTGCCTGCGAGCTTGGGCCTCTGAGGCGGTGGAGGCGGCACTTACTGCGCACCTCGAGTGCCAGCCGTGCTTCCGCGCGTTTGGTTGTAAATCGTAGGGGACCGTCTTCCCCCAGCAAGGCGTGCGTCACCTGGGACCAGAGCCTCGAGTGAGGACAGCACTGGGGAATTTGGGGCGGTTTGACTACTCCCGCAACATTTTTCGTCAGAGACCATGACGGAGACCTCCCTGCTGGCGCCTTCTTTAGTTTCCTCAAATTATAACCTTCCCAACCCTGCCTGAAGCGTCCAGTTTCCCCTCTCCAGCAAAATGGTGCTGGCTAACTCAGATCTGAACGATCAGTTGTGTCGTTAACTTGGCTTTCTGGTAAATTCGTGGACAGTAGACTCCGTATGATTTTTTTCTGAGCACTTGCATATCAGTATATTCAGTTAAAAACATGACTTTGCTGCCAGTTCGTCAGTTCTTACCTGGCCTTGAGAGACTGACACGCCACAATTCAGACTTCCATATTTCCTATAAATCACAAAACATCTTTTTAAAGTCAGGGTGCACTGATTTATTATGCTGGTAACTGATTAGCATTTCTGTTAAAGTTTTGGAAGAATCTTTAAATAGCTTCTTCAGCCAACTTTTTTTACGGGGAAAAAAAGTGAAGCTCTACGTCTAGAACTCGGCCTGGATTAGAACTTCTGCCTCTTTTGTCCATCTCTATATGTCCACATTTCTTAGAGAAGAATCATTATACAGAGAAAATGGCAGAATCACTAGTGTCTTCTAAATATCTAGCCATTAATCCCACCAGTCCATCCCATTTTCATTCAAGAAGTATAAGAAATGCTGAATAAAAATTATTAGTTGCCCGATTCCACAGATAAATTGGAATAAATCCAGATACAGTGGAACAAATCCAAATACAGTAACCGGAATGGAAGTTACTTATTTTAAACTCAAATACTAGATTTTACCATGATCTCTTGAAGGAAAAATAGAATCAAGCTTTTAAAGTTTTACCAGGTAGACTTGCAGTATAGTTTCACAGAATAATCCTTGGATTTCAATAAACTTTCAATAAGAGCTCTCCCCTTAGATTGTTTATCAACTAGTCACCCTGTAGAAGAGATCTTTAGTTTTGGAAAGGTGGTTTGGAGTCAGTTCTTACAGGGTTACTGGTTCTCAGCTGCTTGGATGTACCCGGCATCATACAGATCTCAGCAATACAACTCTGGCCTTCGACATTTCTTGTCTATCAGCACAGTGGCATGCAACCTGGCTATAAAGAAGGAAGACTTTCAGGGTAAGTAACATTCTTGGTTGAACTGTAATTAGATTACAAGTGAAGAAGAAGAAAGTTAGTGACAATTGATAAGAATCAGGGGTAAGTGATCCGTGAAAACAAAGTGGAGACTTATACGGTGCAGCTGAAGGGGTTCGGCCAGTTAACTTGGCCAAACTAAATAATTCTAATGAAAAATTATCTTAGGTATCTGAATTATCTGGGTGGGGTATTATCATCAAGTTAAATGGTTTCCTTTTTTGTACTTTACGTGCACCTAAACTGTGCAAGGATTCTCAAGAGGCTATTATATTATCAGAGAGAGGCAAGGAATTCTTGCCAGGCTCAGCTGATTAAAAAACAAAGCAAACAAAAACAAGTTGACTTCGATTGGGTGGAGAGGCAGTTTAGTCAAATTATAAAGCTAGAAAGAATCTTAAAAGGCTTTCCATTTGGATCCTCTAGCTTTAGGCTACTGTTCACTCTGCTCAACCAGAAAAATGATTGTATTTCTTATTTTAAAACACCTCTAAAACTGCAGAATTGCAGTCTGATAACCAGTTTAAGTTTAATCAGCCTAAGTTCTGTACAGTCGACCAAACTCGTTTCCTTTTATACAGGAAATGAGGCTTGTTCAGAGAATGCTTCAAGGGTTACTGGAGACTTGTGTGGGTAGCGTAGTAAAAACTGGCCAGCAGGTTAATTTTACGGAAGGCAAGGCAGCATTAAACGACATCCACCAAAGAATTCATTGAGACGTTTCACAATATAATTTACAACAAAAAGACATACAGTCTTGTAAGTAGATTTGTTAATTATTAGTCTCCTAAAATTATATTTGATCTTCTTATAATTAAGTTTCTACATGATACCTCTTGAAGTTCTGGTCTGCGGTATATAATAGGAAAGAATCCAACAACCCAAATGACACTGGTGCTTTACCTTTTAAAATTATCCCCTTAGGTTAGTGGTGACCAGACTTATGCACACATAAAAGTCATTTGGGGGAGGTTGTTAGAATGCAGATTACTGAGCCCAGCTGAAGATTCTGATGCAGTAGGTCAGAGGTAGGACTGGGAATCTCCCAGGTGAATCCAAAGCAGGTCATCCTCAAACCACATGTTGAAAAACTCTCTCCAAAATGGAAAATAACCATTTCCCTTTACCACATAACCTTGTATTTTAGAAAATTTAAAGGGTCAAGTAAATATTTAGGAAAGAGTCTTTGGTTCCAGCTGAGGGTGGTGAGAGGGGCACCATTTCCAGAATTACCTAGAGAGCTTGGGAATCTTCCCACTTACAAACATCCCCTGAAAGACTCCATCAATCTGAAATTCTGGGGTAATTCATGCTCATTTTGAGAGTATAATATATAATGCAAATAATTCTAGATGTTACCTAATAAATCACTCCTTAATGAGACTCACTTTAACAGATAATCCAGCTGTTTTCTTAGCATTCAGCTGAGATGAACCAAATTCAAGAAATGAGTATATTAATTGATATTTGGGGAACCTGAGTCATTCCATCGACTCTAAAACATTTGAACCAGTGGTCGAGTAGGGAGAAGCTTTGGGCAATTGGGGGCTAGAATCAAAAGTTCTGAGGATGGGCTTCCCTGGTGGCGCAGTGGTTGAGAGTCCGCCTGCCGATGGAGGGGACACGGGTTCGTTCCCCGGTCTGGGAAGATCCCACATGCCGCGGAGCAGCTGGGCCCGTGAGCCGTGGCCACTGAGCCTGCGCGTCCGGAGCCTGTGCTCTGCGACGGGAGAGGCCACAACAGTGAGAGGCCCGCGTATCGCAGGAAAGGAAAAGAATAAAAAAAAAAAAGTTCTGAGGAGTGTGTTCCAAAAGAGGTGGGTGGGCAGCCAGGACCAACCGATTCTTCATTGTGCCCATTGCAAACCACCCTCTAGTTTTTGACCTTAATATTAATGTTGCTTTTGCTCTTTGCCACAGCATCCTTAGATTGCAAATTTGTGGCTAAAACATAAATCCTTGGAAAGGCAAATTCCATAGCTTCTACTTTCTTGACTGTGAAAAGAATAAAACTTTATTTCTAGGATAATTGTATATGCCTGTTTCTTTTATGGTTGCCTTGATTTGTTTTTGGAAGATGAGGACATTGTAAACTAATTTCTTTGACCAAGCCAAGAACTGTGAAACCAAGCAGCATCATTCCTGTTTCTGTTGGGAGGTGAATAAATGCATGGGCATGAGCTCATGGACGTGGACTGTGGAGCCAGCCTAGCTGGCTTTGAATCCTGGCCTCACTCTTTACTAGTTCTGTGACTTGAGTCAAGTTACTTAACTTCTCTGTGTCTCCATTTCGTCATCTAAAAAATGGGGCTTAATATAGAGAACCTACATGATAGAGTTGGGAAGATGATTAATGAGCTTTCAGAATAGTGCTGGGCACAATAAGCATTCAGTAAAAATCAGCTAAGTATTCCCTTCATTATTTACTCTTAAATATTAAATGTTTCAGTGCTTTTAAGGCAGCTTTCATTTTCTTCATTTCTCCCTCTTTATCAAAACTAAAGCCAATATTTTCTAAATCAGAAGATTGTCCTCATTGTCTTAGAGAATCCTGATACTATTTTAAATAATATTACCGTTACCCTTGCTAGTGTTTTATCACTTTGATTTAGGGGCTTTTGTGGTCAAATCAAAAAATTTTTAATCACTATATATAAATTGTGATATTCTGGAGAAATGGTGTAGGTACCAAACCAGCAAAGGCTATTACCCTGTTTTTGTCTTTTGGTTTTTGGCAGTGTGGGGAGGGGAGATGCCCTCAGATTAAAAGATATAAGATCTTCACGACATTCCTACTTCCCAGAAGTTCTGGGGAGCAATAGGCAAGTCAGTGGAGAAGAGGTTTCTCTTAGAGAAACCAGTAAGTCCCATGACAGGTTAATCACTGAAATCATTTTACTTTCTATGGAACCACAGAGGGCAGTAAAAAAATAGTTACAGAGAATTGATTAAACCAGCACTGTTTATATCATGGTTGATGCAGAGAAGTCTCAGAGTTAATCAGGACATCCTTCTAAGAACACTAGATGGTGCTCTGAGTTTAGTTTTAGGATGCAAACTACCTCAGGAAATGGCTGTCTTCATTCAACAAATATTTATTAGGTAATGAACAAGATATTCAAAATCTCTGCCCTTGCGGAGCTACAGTTTAGTGGAGATGGTAGGAAGAAAGACAATGAAAAATAAACATAATATGTAGTATTAGAAGTATATCAGTAGTATATTAGAAAGTGGGGAGCGCTATGGAAAGTAGCAGGGAAAATGGGATGAGGGGCAGTTGCAATTTTAAATAGGCTTGTCAGAGTAGACTTCATTGAGAAGGTGACATCTGAACAAAAACTTGAAAGAGTCACTGGAGTGAGCAATGGGGACATCTGAGGAGAAGGTGTTCCTTGAGAGGAACAACCTGGCAGACGCCCTAATCCCTAAGGCAGGAGTGGCTGGCTATTTTGAGAATTGCATAGAGATCAGGGTGGCAGGAAAGGTGTGAGGATTTTGACTTCTACCCTGATTTTGGATAAAAACACCTTTATTT